CTGCATGCAGTCGTGGTACCTAGGCTGCACTCTCTCGGGGACAAAGGTTGGTTGGGGTTAGGGCCAGTTCTAAATGTTTTGGGGTCGTTAAAAGCATCAGAAAGCCGTTAAACACAGTCTTACCACCCTCTAAAATGTTGGACTTTCCTGTGATGTCATCTGGGGTTCATTATCATCATATAGCAGGTCCTTTGCAGAATGTCGCTCTCATCACAGTCTGCCTGAAAGAAACTTGGCCTCTCGCCAGTTCTCCCGCCTCATGCACTTTCACACTTAAGGAGTCACTTATATCCTGTACCCATCTTCGTGTCGGTCGGCCCCTGCTCCTCCTTCCTGGTACCATGCCTTTGCTATAATTTTTTCCAATCTGTCGTGGCGCTTGATATGACCAAAATATTTCAGTTTTCGAGAAAGGATGCTATTTATTAGCCAATCTTCCTTGATGTTCAGATCTTTTCAGATGTCATCTTCTTTGTCCAAGATATTCTGAGAATCTTCCTATAGCATTTCAGCTCAAAAGCCCCTATTCTCTTTTTTAAGGACTGAGAGATAGTCCACGACTCACATCCGTATGTAGCCACAGAGAAGATGCATGCTCTCAAAATTCTAATTTTTATCTCCTTTCTGGTGCTTAACCATGGAGTCTATGGCATAGACTTTTTAGGCTGTTCAATCTTTGCATTGCTATGGCCATCCTCCTTTTAATTTCTGTCGAACTGTCTCTATTGTTGTTTATTATAGAGCCTAGATATTCATCTGGGGTAGGATATTAAAAAAGAACAGAAAAATGATGATGAGAATGTTTAGGTAAATTATGAAAATACTAGGGTAACTTGGTGAGTAAGGGTGGGGGGGGGGGGAATTCCATGCGCAACCAGTTCACATATATCATCATTTTACACATTTTCTAGCAATATAAGTGTATTTTCCCTTGTGGCGACGGGGGTTTGCGGGGGGGGGGGGGGGGTTCAGGTCCCTAAGTTTACCACCCCTTTCATTAGGGGGATGGGAACTAAATACTCCCACACTCAAAAATTTGAAATAGTGCTATGTAAAGAAATTATATTTTAAAGTATTTGCTTTTACATCTAATATTAACTAATGTTTGTCCTGCAAATATCACCTGGAGCAGACTATGATCATATGCAAGCGTGGCCTTAGGATGCACACGAGATACACAAATTAGAACAATGAAGTTTTTGCTTGGGCTGACATCGGTAAAGTCGAGACTTCACTGGCGCAAGTCAAGGCCTATCTGCGCGTTACCAATGACGAAAGGCACTCGCTGCATGGCAATCTGAAAGATTTATTAGGAAGAGACCGGTTGAAAAGAGGACAGTCATGGATGACACTAGCTGAAGATACCATCGAGACGGTGGCCTTGGTCAAGCAAATACACAGGAGGCAGGAATGGGTCGACAGGAACACCCACAACACCAGTTTCTAACAGGTCATTATCACGTTAGGAAAAGAACGTAGAGCTTGGTGTAACGGTATGGTAGAATTTGAGGTACAACAACTAATAGATGACAAGGCTGGGCTAGATGATGCAGTAGTGTAAACCGACGGTTCTTTTCTTCGGGGTGTAAAATCTGGCTGGGTTTATTTTTCCTAAGAGTAAAGGTAAAGAATGGGCCTTTTCTATCTACAACGACAAGCATGCGGATGGAAGTGAAGGCAATCACTGCAGGTCTGAGTTGGATAGCAGAAAACTAACTTACCAGAGGAATTATTGTGTTTGATTCTCAGTCGGCACTGCGGAATGGACTAAAGTGGCATGAGTGGATACCAAGCATCAGTACGCCAACATTGAAGGAAATCAAGTGAATATACTGTCCGAGATATGGAGGAGTGCGAAGGAATGAAAGGGTTGATTTTTCTGGCTACAAAAGCGAAAGCTACGGGAACACTCGTACTGGACAAGAGATATATTCTGAAGACCATATATGAAAGAAAGTTGGCAGAAGACGTGAGATAAGATTAAATAACATGATCAAGAATGTATGAACGAGGAATTAAGTGTGGATCCGGCAAGGAAGAGATATGAGAGGAAGAGACCCACGTCTAAGTTCCCTTTCAAAATTACTGGGAGTTCGGGCTCAGAGAATCCCAGGTTCTAGCCCCTATGAGTAATAGTTCAATTATGTCCGCCTTGCCTACCTCCCTGAGCGTAGAGTGTCGACCATATCCCCTATGGTCACTTCTAGCTGTACCACGCTCTCCAGATATCAATGATCTATTTGTGCCTCAGCATTGTTCACTTGCTTCCAAAGACCCTTAACCACACCTGGCTTGTCGGGCATAAATTCACTACCATTAGTGCAGAACCAGCCAGTCTGTCTTCATGTTCATTTCACAAGGCTCCTGCATTACCTGAAGAAGAACAATGTAAAGGACACTAGCTAGCCGAGATCTCTAAAGCTGATGACATACTAGTGTACAACCAAGGCAAGAACAGGGGCAGAATTGTAGAAGAGCTCTAGAAGGAACCTGGGACGCATAGCAGATTGGTTTCAGACCTCATGAGCACAGATTAACCCTACAAAAGCGACTGCAGCTTGTTTTTATTTTATTATCATTTTTTTTAAACAAACACCTAGTAAAGATAATAACGCCCCTTGTGTATATGCGCAGTGAAGAGATAGCAAGCACTGGACTTTTAAAATACCTGGGAGTGAGTTTAGATCGAAGCTTTAAATGCAGATTCCAAGCTGATACTTTGCAGCACTTTAAAATCCAGGAAAACCAGAAAGGGTTTGGCTGCAATGCTAGTAATGGCTGCTATGTGTGGTCAACAATGACTTTTAGTCACCCTCTATCAGGGTTTGATCCTCTTTGTCATAGAAAATGCACTGGCGATCCTCACCCTCAGCAAGACACAAAATGAACGACTGAAAAAAGGCACAAAATGACACATCATGTGGAGCCGTGAAGAGCGGTGAGATATCTACTAAATCTCCCAGATATAAACATCAAAATCACCGAGATCTTTATACGTCCACTGCATGATTAACTGAATACACGTAAAGGCAACAGACTTAAACGATTCCAGTCTTGTTTGGGCAATGCAGAGACAGTACGTCAGTGGGTGATATTCTCTCAAGATATCAACCGTGGAGAGGAATGGATACCAACACCAAACGAATACAAGCAGTACTTTGTGGTGGTTATCACCCTAACAAGACAGTGCGGTGATTTGACTCAACCCGTAGTTGATCCAGAAGTGAAAGAATTGGTGGTGAAACAGGCTTGCCATATTGGATTTTTGTAAGCCAGATTCCACAAATTTAGCTTCTTTAAAATTAAACTGGCTTTTTTTTTAAATCTGGCAAACCTGTGGAGGAACTCACATCACCTGAAGACACTGTTATATATATGGATGGTTCATGTTTTTCACTTTCGTTCATCAGTCACAGGTGATGAGGGCCACTCTTTTTTTTTATCTGTCACGAAACTGCAGTTGAATGTTTGTGAGTCTGGAGGTGACTTATAAGACCAAAATGTGCCCGGAAGAGTATAGAACAATGAGGGTAGGGCACAGTTTCTGTAGACAAAGGACCTGTTTGACAGTTCTTTTTGACCTGTCCTTGCTGTTCAGCTGCCCTTGCTCTAGATGCCTCGCAGATCGTTGCACCTTCTCTGATACATATGCGCCATAAAGTCCGGTCTTGTGCTGCAGCCTCCCAGGAGTCAGAGTTTATTCTGGAGTCTTTCAATGATGCCTTTAGTCTGTCCTTGAAGCACTTTTTTTTCTGACGCCTATGAGAACGCCGACCTTAGAATATTATTTTTGGGAGTCGATGGTCAGGTTCAAACAGTACGGTCAGCCCATCGAATCTGTGACTGCATCAGGATGGTACTGATGCTGGGAATGCCAATCCTGTCCAGTACGACAGTGTCCGAGACCATGTCTTGCCACTTTGTGTTCAGTATCTTTCCCAAACAGACTTTACTGAAGTGGTTAAGTGTTTTTTGGGGGGGCGGGCTGACGTATGTATGCAGTCTAAGTTTCACAGGCATGCAGTAGCACTTGAAGCACTGCAGCACAGATGGTTATGTGATTCGTCAGAAGCGAAGTGCATGGGCTTTCGCAGCAACAAGTAAAGGAAAGGTCATCAAAGAAGACCGTGGAGCCTTTGCTTTTACCACCAGCAGCATGATAATGGAGGTTATGACTGTGAAAAAGGCCCTATGGCTGAAAACTCGGGAATTCACCAGTGCATGTTTTCTCAGCGACCCAATTAGCATGCTACAGAAGATAAAGACAGGGCATATGAGGAAACAGTAGCCGTATCTGACACAGCACGCAGCGTTTCGTAAAATTTCCTTCATTTTTCCTCCAATATGCTGGTGTAAAAGGCAGTGAGAGAGCAGACACCCTGGCTGGCATTGCAACTATCACGGCTGGGCCATCTATGAACAGGAGAGATACCATCAATGCCATACGAGAGACTAAACGCTGCGAGGCTTTCAGTTTTGTGGAAAATGATTTTTCACTAAACAGACTGCATACCCTGGGTGTACCAATTGGAGCAGCAAGATAGGAAAACCACGCGGCTGCCATCCGTCGTTATATCAACCAGAATAGAATGGGAGTTGTTAGTCTAAAGACACCAGGAGACTTCTCAGGAGATCGGAGCACTTATGGTCATGTCAGATGTGCGATGAAGATGATCTTTTTTTAAATAAACAAAGAATGAACATCAGTCTTAATAGTGCTCTTGACAGAGCTCATCAACGAACATTACATCTCCCCCCGACACTTCGATGAGGTACAAGAGAAGAAGAAGGAGCAGAAGAAGAATAAACAAAGAGCTCTTCTGAAGAGGAAATAAATACTAGTGTGTCATCCCGCGCTGCTTTAGTTGGACGTGGAGCATTTGACAGGGGATTTGTTGTCATTAGTTAGCAGCTGAAAACTTGTTTGTAGCTTATTTAAATTGACTCCTGCTGGTTCTATAGGTGAATTTTAACAAGTCTTTTTCCAGACGCTGAGACGAATGTCTTCAGATACGATATCATCGGTTTCTAAGGTCGGTATATAGTATAAAAACTACTAATAATTAGTATATTAAATTATTAATATTTGGCTCTCCTCCGAACTTCTCCCCCGCAGTATTGCGGCCTGAAACTGAAATATCCGTTCGGGGCGCAGTCTAATTAAAAATATGCCGGCTCCGTATAACGAAACAAATGCTCTTAACAGGATCTCAGCGATATGTTACTTGTGTTTCTTATTCTTTATGATTACTTGACAACAATTCTAAGAGACGCAACTCTGCATACGATAGTACTAGTAGCAGCCGACGACGATAATAGCGACCGTTCACACTTTCCATTGTCGAACTTTCTGCCGACGAACAAATCGCGGCAAATCTAGGATCGGCTCGGAAAAACGAAACAAATACTCTAACAGGGTCTCAGCGATATGTTACTTGCGGACCTGTTTCTGTGACTATGCCTCACCGCCGACCGTATTCCCCCGCGCCGCTACGCGTAGCGCGGATAGGGGCTAAACTAGATGGCTGGGACTCACGAGCGGCAGCTACCGCATCTCCTGCAACTTCCTCCAGTTACTTCGAAATTGTTATCGTCTGCAATGTTGCGTCTCGTGACATTGTAAGGTACTCCTAGTTTTGCCGCAATTTGTTCCTCGGCGGGAACTCCAAGTCAGTATTTTTAATTGGACTGCCCCGAACGGATATTTCAGGCTGCAATACTGCTGGGGTAGAAGTTCGGAGGAGAGCCGTATATTTTACTATTTATTATTACAATTTAATTAATAATTACCGACTACAGCATAGCACTTACTCACTTAGCACAACATTAAAAATCTGTGTAATATAAATTATAATATATTATTATTATATAGTTCATATACAAACCAGGAAGGGGTGCATGGGCTGACCAAGGCAGCCCGAAGATGGGCACAGAATGTAAGATTAAGTGACTCAATGTAAATATAAGAGTGCACGAGACGGAAGAGACATGAGTTTCTTTCAGTTTCAGACAGACCGTGATAAAATGATAAAAGCGACATTCTGCAAAGGACCTGATAGTGGTGATGATATATAAACAGTAATGAGTAAAGTAAAGAGTTCCGAGAAACGCACACACCTGGCTGAGCAGTTAGTCACTTAGTAAAAAAAACATTGATAACAGTTGTTTATTTGACTATGCTGGTGACTTTGTGAACTTTGTCAGGCTGTGTTTGAAAACCTGGTAAAGTAACTCCTCCTAAATAGCACATGCTCTAGCTATGTGCTGTCATAAATCTTTAAAACCCCCCCCCCCCCCCCCCCCCCACCCCCACCCCCGTCCTGCCTGGCCTACTAAGAAGTAATTAAAAAAAATTTGAAATACAGAAAGTTTTAGTTTTATTATTATACGAGGGAAATTCGATAAGTAAGTCACAAGTGGTTATGGATGGCAGGAAAATGTAGTTAGTGGTTTTTTTTAAGTGTCATTAGGGGACAGCAACATCAAACTTTATGTCTCCATTTGTCTGGTGTCACTAGGTGTTGCATGTGCATTTAAACACAGAAACAAACTAGCAACTGTACTTACAGAGTGTATCCTCAAATAACAACGTGCTGTTGTGGTTTTTTTTTTGGGGGGGGGGGGGGGGGAGGGCTGCCTTCAAAGGACATTCATAAAGAAATGCTTCCTGTTTATGCTGACAAATTTTTATCCTGCGAAGCGGTGCATAACTGGGTAAAAAAAAAACCTCAAAAAAAGTTTTCAAGGTGTGTTTATTGAATTCCCCTTGTATTATTATTATTAGCCTCTCCGTGTAGATTCCGGGTCCCCTTTATGGGGGAAAACAAGAATAGACTCACTGCCTCACTAACAAGTCAACATAGGCATTGACTGATTGACAGCTTTCTTCGAAGTCAGAGTGCATCTGTCCTAGTGGCAAGGAACAGTCATGTAAAACTGACACCTTGGGCTAAAGTCCAAATGTTCGAACAACCAGGACTTTCCTCCGGAGCTTACAGCCAGTGAAGGGAGAAACAAAAATTATTAGCCTTTTATTAGTCCTACATTTGCCTTGAGAAAGCGAATATAAGTAAAAAAAAATTGTTATTTACCCTACAAGAGTAGTCATCATCATCATCAGGTGCCTTGCCGACTGGCGTGGGCGATCATGCCTCTCCATAATCTGTGATCTCCTGCAGCATGTATCAGTTCGTGTGCACACCTTCATGCCATGCAACAAGACTATCAAGCATCTTCTCTCGTTGTCTTCCTCTATCTCTCCTTCCACATATCTTTCCAGTGGTAACATGTTCTATTTTCCCTCTTCTCATAACATGACAGAAAAATGATGACTGTCTCCTTCTGATGTCTGTGATAAGTTGTCTTCAGGCTCCCGCCTCTTTCAAAACCTCTTGGTTGCTCTTTTTGGCTGTCCAAGGTATTCTAAGCATTCTTCTGTAAAACCACATCTCCGAGGCCTCCAGAAATTGTTTGGCCTACCTACCGATTGTCCAGGATTCACAGTCATATGTTAAAACTGGATGTATGTAACAAGCAAGAATTCTTTTTCTAACTCTCAATGACAAGGATATATTGCACAAGATGTTTTTCATTTTATAAAATGCAGTTTTTGCCTGTCCTATTCTGTTTCTTATCTCAGTTATGCATCTTCCATCTTATACTATCCATGTGCCCAGATACTTAAATTTCTGTACTTGTCCTAAAATAACACCATGAACTTTTATTACACACTTAGGAATAATTCGTTTCTTTGATACCACCATTACTTCTGTCTTCCCATTATTCAAACTGAGGCCCATTCTTCCACTTTCTAACACCACAATGTCTATCATTTCCTGTAGTTCTTTCTGACTTGTTGCTATCAGCATAACGTAAACTCAAGTTCTGGAACAAGACTTAGGTCTAAGAGTGGACAAACAACCAGAGCTTTGCGCCGTAATTTACAGCCGGTGAACAAGATAAAGTATTCATCTAATTTTGATGTTTAAGAAAGAAACATTTTGTTTTCAAATCTCAGTTCACTGTTTAAAATGTTTTTCCCCACCTCCTTTCAGGGATGCTTTGCGTACAAGGGAAAAGTTGCAAGAGCAAATCGGGAAGATTACATAAATGTATCTAATGACAAATTCATCAAGAGCCGCTTTAAGCTGTGTAACCAGCTGCAGGAAGATCTGCACATCAGGATAGGTATTTTGAGGTCTGATCTGAACTCAAAGATATTTGATGATTTGGTGGCATTCGCTGCCTCCTACAATGCCACAGAGGATAAGTACAAAGGCAGGTCCATCGAAGAAATTCTCACAGCAGTCCTCATCACTGGTGTCAACACCCCGGACCATGATATCATGTTTTCTAATTTAGACAGCATGCTGAAGGTCAAGGTGACCCCCTTGGTAGCTCGTATCAAGTCAACAGATTGTTCTCGTGTTGCTACATTAATCAAAAATATTTTCCAGCAGTTGGCAAATGTTTCCATGCCTATGGATGATGAAGATGATAATGGAGAAAATAGTATTGAAGATTGTCCCGACGGAGATAAGAATGATCTTGAAAGTAGTCCCGTGAAATTGAAATGGACTGATTAAACGTAAACAGGCATTTACAATGTCTACATTGGTTAAATGGTACAATAAAAACCATTGTTTTAAGACTGGCCAGCCATCTCCAGCTAAAAAGCCTAAGATCATTGGCAGCCCAACCAAAAGAACACGTGAGAAAGCCACAGACAAACTGGCAGAAATGGAGATCGATGAAGTAAAAAGACAAACACACCAATAATCATTATGTTAGAAGATGCAGAAAATTTAAACCCACTTGTGCTTCAGGACTTTATCTCTCTCTGCAGCAGTCACCTGGATTCATTACCAGTTATTTTAGTACTGGGTATTGCAACTTCTCTCACGGTGATTCACCAGTTGTTGCCAACATCAGTCTCATCACTACTGTGCATTGAGACATTTCAGGCACCATCAGCTTCCAGCTACCTCACCCAGTTGATGGACAAGATTATCATGACCCCTGACATACCATTCAGACTGGGACCAAAGGTGTTTCATTTCTTGCTGGATGTGTTTCTCTATCATGACTTTTCCATTTTGAACTTCATCATGGGGTTTGAATACAGCATGGCAGAGCATTTTCTGTCAAATCCATTGAGCTTGTTGTGCTGCCCGAGGAGCGACATTGATATGGTCGTTTCTAGATTAACTCATGTGCAACTGGAGGATATTCGTAGACAGCCTGCTTTTATGAGGTTTGACTATTTTCTTTTGTTTTTGATCATTATATTTTGTTGCTGATTTTGATTATTATATCTGTGAAAGCAAGAGGTCGCCCTAGGAGAATATTGATTGATGACATTAAAGAACTCTACATCAACATGGAATGACTATAGCCATGCTAAAGCAATGGACCACAAACTGTTCCTCCCCACGACACTTAATAGCATGTGTGAAAATTGATGATGATGATGATTTTCTTGGTAATTTGTAGTAACTTTAGGAGTCTCAGTGTTAAGGAAGTAATACACACCCCATACCTACCATATGCCTGAGGTTCAACCTTCCTGTGATTCTGTTTTTCCTGGCCCTAGTTTCAACAGTCTAGCCGCAGTAGCATAATGACTAGACGCTTGTCTACCCGCCTAAAGGTCTTGCAATCAAATCCACATTGAGGCAGATTTGTTCTATAAAATTGACCTTGATCCTCATGACGACCCAACCTAAAATGAGTACCAGATAATGCCCTAGAAAGTGGGCATCACCCACCAAGAGCTTTGTCTACAAAACACCAGTCTGGCATCATATGCCCAGTGGTTTAAAAAAAAAACCTTTAGTTTGAACAGTGTCTAAATAACCACAGTATAATAATGCTGTACTTGACATCTAAGGAGTTGCTGTGGTATAGTGGCTAGATGCTAGCCTGCTGATCCAAAGGTTGTGGGTTCAAATCCAAATTAAGCCAGTAATTAAAAATAAAATGACCTTGGCTTCCAGAGCAGTTCAGCCTCAGATGGGTACAAAGTAAACTCCTGGTAAGTAAAGGCGGCCAACATGATGTTGACCACATCACCCACTGAGTGCCGATTGGTTCATAAAATATAGGTCTAGCGCTGTATGCTTAATAAAAACACACATATATATATATATATATATCTATGCTCTCAAGATTATGGAACAAAAAATGCTCTTCACAATGTTCCAGCATCTTGGTAATCTTAGTTTTAGCTTCATAGCAAACGAGTCACCCCATAGTTGCTCCGCTCCTGTGCCAACAAAAAACACAGAGTGTTCGTCGCAGTCCCTTGTGGAAAGATTGACAGACTGTTGTCTCAGCACATGCACTAGCATACACATGCATTAAAAACATACGGTAGCCATCAGAAGTGCTAACACAAACAGTTTGACATTAGAAATGCAGTTCATCGACGGTAGCAGAAGTCGCCAACAGATCAGCAGTTACGCACGCGATCAATATTAATCACATAAGAGCACCACCAATATTGCAGTGACAGGTCACGCACCATTTTCTGAAACTACAGTTCACAACACCACGTTGGTCACAGTCGAAAAACATTCTAAATAAAATCCACAGCTCACAGGGTCGCACCATGCACTCAACTCTGTAGCTGGCGCGATGAAACTGTATCCTTTCAGTCTACAAATGGATCAAAAAAAAATTTGCCTCGGCGCGAAACAGTAACCGCGCCTGGCATCCATTTTGACCAGAAGACGTTCCAGCATGTGATCCTGTTGGTGATAGATTATGGACTTGGAATGCTTACCATATCAAAGAGTCAGCAGATAAAACTCGAATGCATACAGAATGAAGCCATGCGGGTAATTCTGGGATGTACAAGAGATACCCCGATAGTATGTATGCGATATATGCTTGCACTGCCTACTGTTGCTGATTGACTCAAAGTTCTGCAAGCAAAGTCATATCTCAGAGTAGCTGCAGACAAGAAGCACCTCCTTCATGAAGCCCTGGGTGGAGCTAAGGGTCACAGACTGAAAAGAGGCGAGTTCTTGGATGGCACAAGCTGAAGACACAATTGGACATTTGTGCAGGCTTGATGTTTATCATGTGTGAAAACGACCACCAGAAAGTGCAGCACATAGAGCATGTATAAAATGCAACTAATTAGGAGTTAGCCAAAATTGAATGTATTGACTGAGCCAAAAGATGCAGATATCACAGCCTTACTGTAAACCATCCCCCTCTCCCCACCCCCCTCCCCCAATTTTCATTGAAGCAGTCTTTGCAATTGAATCATGTCTCACCACAAGCCCAAACCAAGATAGCTTGCTAAAATTCCCCTCTGCCAAGAGAAGCTCCTGATGTCCTGCAAATTTGTATATTTTGTCCCTGGCATATTTATTAGTTTTGTTTTCTAAATAACTAATTCGTAAAATGCGTTTGTAGCATTTACATTCAAAAGTAGGAGCCACGAGTGAAAGCCAGGCTTGGACCAAAGGCAGGTGAGCTGTCCTGAAAAGGACAGTTTCTGACACATGATGATGTTAATGTGCCAATTTTCTTGGGTGTTCAGATATTGAAGAATGTCAGTCTCATTTCTTCATGCTTACAAAGTTAATATTTCTCACTGTTTACTTTCAGGTATGTCGAAGACAAATCAGCAGACTACCAGGCCATACTTTTAACAGATGATTCAGCAACCAAGAAATTGCTGACAGAAGAACTCACAGTTGTGCATGTGTCACATGCAAAAATGTTTACCACTCTCCGTTTTCTTCATTCTCTGTGTTCTGGCTTGCCGAAACATCCTCTGGGAAAGCAGTTACGGGAGCTGTATTCTGTTTGCCTCACACAAGAACTGTGCAAGTCTGAAGGTTACGAGCAGGCCTTCAATTTGTTGAGAATGATGTCTTGTGATGATCTTTCACAGCTGCTCAATGTATCATTGAAGACTTTATCAGAGGCAAGAGATGAGGACATTGGAAGATTGCACAAAGATGTTGAAAGCTTTATTTACAGATTACAGCATATAGATGAGGAGCCAGATGATGAAAAGACAGGTTTGTCATTGTTTGAATACCTCCTAGTAACCTAGGATCCTTTTCCACACCTTGAAGCATATAGGGCTAGACCTATATTTTTTAGTCCAGTTGGCACTCTAGGTAATGTGATCAGCATCACATGGGGCACCTTTACTTCCCAAGACTATACCTATTACGCATTCCAGGCTGGCTGGAGCTGGAAGCCAAGGTTTTTTTTTTGTGTGTGTCTGCCCTAGGGGGCACAAGAAGGTTTTAAGCGAGCAATTTTGAAAGTGAAGTGAATGCTTTTGTACTTGTAATAATCCGTTATACCCCTAAGCAAGGAATTAAAAACCCTTTAGACCCAAGAGCTGCAAAAACTGACACTTCTGGTTGGGTCCAGTTCCCCGTAAATGTAATCTCTAGTGACCTGTTTACGAGGTGCATAGTTAAGTTAATGCTACTGGATGTTTGTTTTTACACTTAAGCAAATGTTCAGGAGCTCAGGATGTTAAGTCATTAACTTAAAAAAAAGCATTTACGGATGGGGGTTTGTGGGTTTTCTTTTGAGGCAAATAGCTTTTTTCCGTAAGACTCGTTGGTAGAGGTCATGACATGATTCCACAGACAGGTCATTGTGGTCTTAGGAGAATGGCGCTGTAGGGGTTACCAGGGCATTTGGCTGACGCTCAGCACTCAAGGGAAAGGGATCACGGATGTACAATCAGACAGTTACTGGTACCACTGGAATGCTGCTGAAGATGGGGAAATGGCGCTTAGAGGAGTGTTCCGAGTGCTGTAATGTCGATTCTTAATTCAGCATGATTCCATTGAATACTTTACCCTGTTCTTGTTTATTGATTACTCCTACATATATCTGTAGATAAATAAATGTGTTAGTGAATTTATTAGTGAACAGTGTTTGAATAAACACAATTTCTGGGATTCCAGTGGGGTCATCACCCATTTTTTGGGGTTTTTATGGCGTGAGGGTTAAAATTGATCTGAGTTCACAAGTCAGCCTGCCTAAGTGGGTACTAGGAAATGTAGACAAGTCTACAGAAGGCTTGGCATGAGTTGATTTGAAGGTCTGTTCTTCTTCCAAAACTTGAGTTTAGGGTGCTGTTTTTACACATCTGGTTAATTTTATGTATACTGTTGGTTCCTCACCAGTTAAACTTAAAAACTTAGTGACAGTTGCCAAACTTTACTGGAAAAGAGAAGAGAAAAACAAAGAGTTAAATACCTGGCAGGCGTGGCCAGATGGTGTAGTAAAGACAAGAACAGACCTGATTTTAGATTCTGATCATGTAAGAAAGACAGCAAACGTGATCACCTAAACCAGTGTTTACCAAACTTTTCTTAGTCCCAGAGCCTTTTTTCAATCAAAATTTTTCCACGACACCCTAACCCAAGTAAAAGTATGACTATTCGTATTTAAGAGATGAAAACAAAACTCTGTGCATCTTCGAATATTTTGCGGTTCCCCAGGGCACCACACCACACAGTTTGGGAATCACTGACTTAAACTAATTGGCATGGCACACAATGATGATGATGATAAAATAATTGTTTCTACATTATTTGCTGCGCTCAATATCTATCCTAGTGTTGCCAGATTGAAAAGAACTTGAATTCTGCATGCACATCCATTTAACAGATCTGGCTTACTTATATCTAACTTTATATCTCAAGTAATTTTCCACAGATTTGTGATGACGGCTTAGCATGTGCACAATAAGAAAATCTTAGTATTTAGAGGTGTTTGATAATAATTTTTTTATCTGATTTTTTAAGGTTCAGAAAACATGCCTGATGCTGGTAGGGTCTTACCCAAAAGAGCTAAACTTCATGAACTGAAAGAGAAACTGCAGTCGTTGACAACATGCCGAAGGATGTCACCATATGAACGACTAAGAAACACAGTACTCGACACACTTCATAAACATTTAAGCTTGTTGTTAGTTTGTCCTTTATCCAGACCTCTACATGAAATTTTCTATTTTAATAATCTAAGTGCCATCAGAGACCAGATCCGAGCAACACCACGGTGTACAATCCAGCATGCGTTGACGCAGCCAGGGAAATACCTGAACTGTCCTTGCTGTCAGTGTGAAGCAGACGCCATTTTACCTTCAATGCCAGATATTTGTATTGTGTACAAGCTTCATTTAGAGTGTGGGACTTTAGTCAACCTCTATGATTGGCTTCAGGCTTTTGTCACAGTAATTTCTTCTAAGGAGACTGGAGTCGGCAAAAAAGTAGAAAGGAATTCTAAACCAAGCACGGAGCTTCGAGCTCGATTTATCAGGGCAGTTTCAGAACTGCAATTTCTAGGATTTATTAAGGCGACTCAGAGGAAGACTGATCATGTGACACGCTTAACCTGGTAACGTCTTATGACCTTCATATTGTATCATAGACATGTGGGTGTTCATTCATTGTCCTGTTGTGCCATTATATTTCACATCTTCATGTAGCAGGTCCTTTGCAGAACTTCGCTCTCATCAAGGTCTGCCTGAAAGAAACAGCCATTCTTCCTTGATGTTCAGATCTTTCATGATGTCAGTATTTCTCCTCTTCTTTGTCCAAGATATTCTGAGTATCATTATATAGCATTTCAGCTCAAAAGCCTCCTGCTATTCTCTTTCTTATGGACTGGGAGACAGTCCACGTTTCACATCCGTATGTTGCTACAGGGAAGATGCATGCTCTCAAAATTCTAATTTTGATCTCCTTGCTGGTGCTTAACCATAGACTTTTAATGCTGTTTAATCTTTGCATTGCTATGGCCATCCTCTTTTATGTCAAACAGTCTCCATTACTATTTATTTCAGAGCCTAGATATTCAGTTTGTGACATTTTAAATTTCTTTATTGTTGTTATATTTGGGTGACAGCCAGTTTTACCTGTGGAAATTATTTTCATTTTCTTTAAATTCAAGAACACATTTTGACACACTTCATAAACATTTTAAGCTTGTTGTTAGTTTGTCCTTTATCCAGCCCTATATTTCACATAGGGCTCACAATCTATTTTCGATCCTGTCGTATGAAATCACTACGAGATCATGGAGGAAATTCATTCCCGCAGCTTTGGCTTCTCTCATCAATATTTCTCTTAGAGTTTCTCTTGGACGTCCTTGTTTCCTCAGTCCTACTAATTCCCATTTCTGTGCCTGTTTGGCGATTTTCTGATTTTTCTCTTCTCTGAATGTGTCCACTATTAGCACATTAGTGAACACATGTTGAAACTAAAACTACCACTAATGTACCATTGTTGGTGTCTGCAAGGAGGTTTTTTTCTGTTTGGTGATTCTCTGTTCGTCTCTTCTCTGAATGTGTCCAGTATAGTATATTAGTGTACAAATGTCGAAACTAAAAACTTCCACTAATAGTAACATTGTTGGTGTCTGTAAGGTTTTTCCTGTTTGGTGATTCTCTGTTTGTCTCTTCTCTAAATGTGTCTAGTATAGCACATTAGTGTACAAATGTTGAAATTGAAACAACCACTAATGTACCATTGCTGGTGTCTGCAGGGAGGTTTTTCCCCTGCTTGCCCCAAGCAGTCGTCATGTTGTGTAATACACTCCACAACACATCAGGTAAAGATCCCATCATTTCACCCATGCATTCCTGCCTTTATGTTGAAACATTGAACAGCTTGTTATCATTGTGAGTGTCTATCTTTACTGTGCTATAATAAACATAAGGTTGTGTCCATATTTAGTTTTTTTTTATCTTCTTAGCATGTACCGGCTCGGCTGTGTACAAATGTTGACAACCATTAATGTTGAAATGTCTGGTTTTTCCACTGCGCTGCCACTTCGTCACGTTGTTTCCAAGTCTCAGGTTAAAACATCCCATAACTTCACCAATTCTGCATGCACATCCATTTAATAGATATGGCTTACTTTTATCTAGACAGACTGTTGGTTCCTCACCTCTCAGGCAGATGCACTGTGATTTTGAAGGGAAAATCCTTAATTAGTTACCTTTTACGAGTTTTTAGGGAGAGTTCAGTGGGTGTATTCTTCCCTCCCCAAATGAGGCCCTGAACTCACATAGGGAATCAGTGTTTCATCTGTACCACGTTCTGAATGGAAGGTTTTAACAACTGCATGTGAATTTTATCAGAAATTAGAAGAAATAGCTAACACATATTTCACAGAGCAAATCTGAATCCTGATACCCTGAATCCTGGCAACTGATAAAGAAATAAAAAATATACTGAAGTAACAGAAATGTTGTTGTATAGACATCCATAAAAGAATATCAAAGACAGTTTAAATAAGCAGTCAAAATGCAAAATGCTAAAACACACACAAAACTGAACCCTGTCGCTCCAAGAAGACTGAATCTAGTCACTTCCTGTTGTGACTCAGCCCTGTAAATGTTGATACATGGTCATTTTTGCAGGGACCTTTTTGCCAGAAAGTGTAGTTAAATTTCATTGGTTGTCTGTGCACCTGCTTAGTGTTTATGATGATTAGATGTAAATATAGTAACTAAAAAAAATAGTATTTGGGGTAGAGGGGCCGATATGACCCCTGTGGTTTTTCTAAAGCCAAGCTTACGTCAAGGCATCAGTCACCCGATAGGTCATGTTTTTATGGGCAGGGGGAGTGTATTTCATTAAATGCTTTACTTTGTGTTTGCTGATTACCTCTTTTATGCATCTTTGTAAATTTCATGGGGGGAGGGGGGGGGGGTGGAATGTTAAATATAGATAAGTACATTTTTGTTTAAATGTATTCGCGACCTGTGTAAAATAATTTTTTTTTAAGGACTTTTTCTGGGAATCCTCTTGGGTCCTGATCCTTTTGTCCCCCTTGCTGTGAAATGGTAAACACACAAACATCAGAAGATAAAGTTATTTGCCTTATGATGAGACAAAGTAACTTATAACAATAGTAATTTAAGGACATTTCCCTTGCTGGATGGGGAGACATTTTTGGCATACTGTATTAACCTTGTATATTTTTGTATACACCAGTCTTTCCCATTTGGTGGCTTACAGAACAAATTTAAGGGGTCAATGATACCCACCCCCCCCCCCCCCCCCCCCCCCCCCCCCCCCCCCCCCCCCCCCCAAAATCCCCAGTGTTATATTGCAATACTTTTGTGACACCAGTTATAATATTTTTGAGTTCTTCAGTATGGCTTTTAAAAGTATGGAGTCGGTGGCAGACCTTTGAATTTAAGAGGAGTCTGTGGCAGACCTTTAAAGTTGAGAGGAGTCTGTGGGAGACCTTTAAAGTTGAGAGGAGTCTGTGACAGACTTTGAAGTTAAGAGGAGTCTGTGGCAGACCTTTGAAGTTAAGAGGAGTCTGTGGCAGACCTTTGAAGTTGAGAGGAGTCTGTGGCAGACTTTTGAAGTTAAGAGGAGTCTGTGGCCAACCTTTTAAGTTTAGAGGAGTCTGTGGCAGACCTTTGAAGATGAGAAGAGTTGGTGGCAGACCTTTTAAGTTGAGAGGAGTCTGTGGCAGACCTTTGAAATTGAGAGGAGTTGGTGGCAGACCTTTTAAGTTGAGAGGAGTCTGTGGCAGACCTTTGAAGTTGAGAGGAGTCTGTGGCAGACATTTGAAGATAAGAGGAGTCTGCATGCCTTACAGCCAGTGGAGAACCACTGGTATAGACCGAGCAGCATTCAGTTAAGTGATGCAGTCAGTTTTGTGCTGGCCACCTTTACTTCATATAGCATTTCCTGTTGCCTTTTTTAGGCGTGGAGCCTAAGTTAATTGTTTTTTAACTAAAGGACTATTTTCCACGCCTTTAGGCAAACAGAGCATAAAGGCCTAGACCTATATTTTATAGACCAACCAGCACTTGGTGGGTGATATGGTCAGCATCAGGTTGGTCACCTTAACTTCCCAGGACTACACCCGGTACCCACTCAAGGCTGGGTCAGCATGGTAGCCAAGGTCTTTTCTGAAAAAGGTCTAGCTCCCTCAGGACCTAAACCCACGACCTTCCAATCTGCAGATGAGCATCTAGCTGCTACATCATGGCAGCTTCCAAATTGTTTTTCAATTCCCCATTAAGTAAGCAAAGGGCCATTTTCGGCGCCTTCGGGTATATTAGGCTAGACCTATATTTTGTAGAGCGGATCGGAAGGTCGCACCGGACTTTTTTTTTTTCAAGCATGACCTGGCTTCCAGGTCGACCCAGCCTTAAGTGGGTATTGCTGGTTGCAGTCCCGGAAAGTAAAGGGGCCGACGTGACGCTGACCTCATCACCCAACTTGCGCCGATTGGTCTATTAAAAATAGGTCTAGCCCTGTACGCCTAAAGGTGTGGAAAAGAGCCCTTTACTTTAATAGACCAGTCGGCACTCAGCGGGTAATGTAGGCCACTTTTATGGACTTTACGTAGCACCCATTTAATCCTACCAGACCGCTGGCCCGATTTTCCGGGAATTTCCTAACCAGCCGCTAAACCTCTGGCCCACTTTTCCGAGAATTTAAGTAGTACGTGACAAATATGTGTCACAGACTAAAAATAACCAGCCAATCGCCATCAGACTTCGTTGCTAGTCATTGCGAATGACTTCCCACGTGTGTTGAGATTTCTTTGTGTGGTTTGATGTGAACAAAATTCGGAAAATTCTCAATGAAACCAGCAGCTTCGACAAGAAAGTGACGTAGGTCTAGGCTTATCACAGTCCAACAGTTGATCAATACTTTGATTAATTCAGACTGTGAATATGTTCATAAAGAATACGTTCCCAGTTGAAGTGACACAGTCAGTCAGAACTACAGTGAGGTGGAGAATTATGAAAATTATAGATTTAAAACTAGATCGATAGTAAGAGAAAGGGGTGTGTCACTCAAACAGCAACATCTGGTGCTTACTTTGTGAATCAAGACTGATCCTACTAGGTGGATTGACACACAAAGGGGAAAAGATTGGCGCTAGATGAAAGGTAAACCTATTTTCTACAATGTCTCTCAAAGTTTTATCTTATTCTAACCACTTGTTTGCATGTAACTAATTTTTTTGTACATCATGTTGGTTTTTTGCTTGTTAGTGCCCAGGAGCTCAGGTTATAAGGACAGTTAGGTTCAGGGCGTCAGGTCTGGTAGGGTTAAGGCTGGATCGACTTGAGAGCACTTTTCTGTAGAGTTCAATTATATACAACAGAGAGTAAATAAATACATTCATATAAAGATTTTTACTGTGAAAATGTGAATATGTTTTGTTCCTATAAAGAAAATTCAAGACTGTTCACTGTGACACTGTTTATTTTGTTATGCAATCAGTTCATGGGATACAATAAAAGCTCCATTAACAAAAATTACCTGCAAATGCTTAACTGAAAAATGAACTTGGGTTCAAATACTTACAATCATACTCCCCTCATTATCTGACTTTTTCTTTCAAAGTCCATCTGCCTGACAGTGAGGAACCAACAAATAAGCCACATCTGTAAAACGGACGTGCACCCCAAAACTCAAGTTCTGAAACTGGGCTAAAGTACAAAAGTGGACGAACAACCAGAAGTGTCTGCTGGGGCTTACAGGGTGAACAATAAGAAGAAGCGGCGTCAAATTTTACAACTCACTTGTTAAGGGAAACAGTGGGTAGATTTTACCCCCAAAATGGGGGCCACTAAACCCACACAGGGCTAACAGATAATCAAAAATGAACAAAGTACAAAATTGGTATAAATAAAATAAAGTTACATATTCATGATCACAGAAAATCTTAACTTTCCTTCAGGAAAACTTGCATTTTGAGAAGTCCATCTCTGGGTGCTGTTGCATAAACCTGGGAAACAAAACAGTATTAAAACATTGAATACAATATGTATTTAACCCTGAAAGAAACATACTATGATACTAATGATTATCATTAGCTTGTAGTAGGCTGTGCATACTTATATCTCCCCAATATAGGACACAATTTTTGTTATTTTAAACCCCACCCTGGCTGTTTTCAAAGGCCTTAATATAACCCAACAACTGAACAGGGTTTCTGGGATCTGTACCTAGATGATTCTCATCTGAATGGTGGCACTTTGTGTCACCAGATATGTTTTTTGCTTGTTGTGCGGTCTTGATGGGGTTGAACATCACTCACTAGGGTGTCATATCAATAAATATATACTACTCTGGTTTACAATTCTTCCCTATCTAGATTCAAGTGTGCCCCATATAAGGACCTCAACTCGCCATTAACAGAAGTAGAGTACAAATCTGTAAAACCCGTTTGGAAAAGAAAGCATATTCAAAATTATTTTAAGCTGACAAAATGGCTATATACACACTTCTATATAAATATCATCAGGTGCCTTGCTGACTGGCGTGGGCAATCATGCCTCTCCATAATCCTCGATCTCCTGCAGCATGTATCAGTTTGTGTGCCGACACACCTCCATGCCATGCAACAAGACTGTCAAGAATCTTCTCTCGTTGTCTTCCTCTATCCCTCCTTCCACAGATTATATAAATATATACACATAATTTTAAATTTCTATATTTGAAGTCCAAAAAAAAAACTTTTTATTTTTTTCGTTCATTATACTTGATGAGGTTTGAACAACAGATCAACATGGCACACGGGTAGTAGCTCATAAGTGCTCCGTTCTTCTAACTCAAGTCATGAGTCCACAGAAGCTCAGCACAGTGCACAAGCTCAGTAGCAGTGACGAGGATCCTGAAATACTTTGGGTAGATTTTTGCCGGGTAGTGCTGTTAGGCCACTTTCACAGATTTCCAACTGCCAAGGGATTTTTCACATGCGCAATGGTGCACAAGGGCGTCCGATCTCACTACCCAGAGACCAGGGTGAATTACTAGAATTACATAAGTCCACATAAAAAATCTTTGCCTTAATACTTGATGAAGAATACAAAAACATCAAATATATATTGACTTTTAGTTATTTTGTTTAACTGAGTAGGTAGTAATTTTCTATCAAAGTTAGAACAAAAATTGCAATATAAACGTGCAGTGTACATGCTTTAAAACTTGAAACTCACTTTTTCAAAACATCCTGCTTTTTCTGCTCATCAGAAGTTGGTAGTCCCATTTCTTTCTGCCTTTGATCAAACATCATCTTCTCTACCATTGAGCGTGTCTCTCCATCTAGATCTGACAGCTGTTTGAATATAAACGTTACATGTGTAGGTCTGGGTTACAAATAATTATATTTCAACAGCAGGATAATTATATTTTAACAGCAGATTTATACGCGTCAAAAACTTTCAATCGATCTAGCCTAAAATAGGTACCAGGTAATCTTTCAATCGATCTAGCCTAAAATGGGTACCAGGTAAACTTTCAATCGATCTAGTCTAAAATGGGTACCAGGTAAACTTTCAATAGATCTAGCCTAAAATGGGTACTAGGTAAACTTTCAATCGATCTAGCCTAAAATGGGTACCAGGTAAACTTTCAATCGATCTAGCCTAAAATTAGTACCAGGTAAACTTTTAACCCATCTAGCCTAAAATGGGTACCTGATAAAGTCCTGGAAACTAAAGGCAACCACAAATCCCATCTAGGGCTGACTGATCTATAAAAAATATATGTTTAGCACTATTTACCCAATGTGTCAAAGGCGCGAAGAAGGTCAATGACTTTGTTTATATGGTTGAGTATGTCTTCTGTATCCTGTCATTTCCCCTATTTTCTAACAATGCTTGGTGATACTAGTCTCCCTTTGCCTCACAGTGTCTAGATAACTAGTCTCCCTTTGCTTCTCAGTGTCTGGATATGAAGAGAGGAATGGAAAAAAGCTTACATATTATCTTTATATCTTTACACTGAATGGAAAAAAGCTCATAGATATTATCTTTATCTCTTCACATTGAATGGGAAAAGCTTATACATATTATCTTTATCTCTTTACACTGAATGGAAAAAAGCTCATACATATTATCTTTATATCTTTACACTGAATGGAAAAAAGCTCATACATATTATCTTTATCTCTTTACACTGAACGGAAAAAAGCTCATGTGTGAATACATATTATCTTTATCTCGTTACACTGAATGAAAAAAGCTCATACGTTATCTTTATCTCTGCACATTGAATGGGAAAAGCTTATACATATTATCTTTATCTCTTTACACTGAATGGAAAAAAGCTCATACATATTATCTTTATATCTTTACACTGAATGGAAAAAAGCTCATACATATTATCTTTATCTCTTTACACTGAACGGAAAAAAGCTCATGTGTGATTACATATTTTCTTTATTTCTTTATACTATCCGCATTCTGCCTAAATGACTTACCTATAAATTTAACTTAAAATAGTGTTAACCACAATATAAAATGTGACAAGCACTAAATACAACAAAAGTTGACTGTCATTTAGTGCTCTGTTGATAAAGACTTTGGTCAAAATGTTATGTTGTATTTCATGACGCCATTTCCATTCCCTCTGTCAAGCTTTCTAGTCACACTTTATATTGTATTTAGCACTTCTTGTCATCAGCTCGTCTGCAGTGACCCACTGTTTACGTCATCACTTTAAAATACAAGAGGCCAATGTTTGTAATAGAAGATCAGTATTCTAGACTTCCAATAATAGCGGACATTTTTTTTTATACTGTCCTGGTTATTTTAAATCTTCCTTTGTTAGTTATTTGTTTTTACTGGTCTTCTAGACGATTCATGAGAATACCATAGACAGATATAAAGAGTAATGAGGATGTCTTGAAAGAAATGACCCACGAAGAGAACTGACTGCTCACTTCGGAGAGAGACAGTCTGCACTCTTTGGCCTTGTGATGAGAAGGAGAAAACTGGAGTACATTGTGACATTAGGAAAGTTGCAGGAGAGGCAGAGGGAGACCGAGAGAAAAGATGCCGGACAGTTTGAAATCATAGCATGGAGGATCATCTATGTCAGAGATGACTGAAAGTACACAAGACAGAAGTATGCATCGACTTTAAGAAGTTATTTACCGTTCAAAATGTGTCATGACTACACCGCTAAAAGTGGTATAACAAAGGCAGTAATTTGAATTTTTTTTTTTTTATTGCAGTCACTCTTCTTTAATGTTTTGTGTCCCAGGCAACATACCATATGTGAACAGCAAATTATCAATCCATGATATGTAACTACTTTCTAATTAAATTTAGTGATAACATGCTTGTGAAATCTGGCAACATTTATTTTATACAAAGTTTATATATGCTATTTTGTTGTCATCATTGTTACAAACTGAACACTTGGTGTGAATTTCTCAGACAGCATTTTTCTACTAGGTCTGAAATAGTCGTGAACAGTCTGTCACAGAAGTCTCGTTGTTTTGAAACCTTCTACTTCACTCATACACTTGCTGGACTCACTGGTATGTATTCACCAGTAAATTGTCTACAGGCTTCACTCCTTCATTGGTCAGATAACAGATGCCCACTCTACCTACAACTTTGAAAAGGCAACTGGCCTCATAAGCAAAGTGTGCAGAGCAAGCTATGGGAAACCATGAAGGACCTGCTACTGACACATGAGTTCATAGAGGCAACCAACCAGATGGTCTGATCTGAGCATTCAAACCGAACGCAAAGAAGATATAAGATAACAGAACACTGCCCATCTCTGTTCAATGTCAAAGGTGAAGTGACATCACAGTGTTCATGTGCACTGTGATGTTCATCTGCACTGTGACGTTTATCTGCACTGTGACGTTCATCTGCACTGTGATGTTCATCTGCACTGTGATGTTCATTTGCACTGTGACGTTCATCTGCACTGTGATGTCACATGCTCAACATAGTTAACAACAATACTGACAGATTATAAGACAACAGAATGGTATGCTAGCATACTTCTAAGGTTTTCATTTGAAGTCCATTCGCATCTCCCTTCCCCCCCCCCCCCCCCCAAAGAATAATAACCATACCTTGGAATTTTCAGGTTTCACCTTTCTTGTGTTGATTTCTGGTTCTGTTGTCAGAACTCGGCTCCACCACTCCATTTTATTAACCTAGAGATGTATATAAACATGTAAGACCGACACCCCCACAAATCCTTGTAAAATATAGCTCTACAGATATGTCTGCAAAATTCCCAGCAGTATAAAATTTGAACAATGGATCAACATCATGACACACGGGTAGTAATCCATAAGTGCTCCATTCTTTTTCTAACTCAAGTCTGAGTCCAAAGAAGCTTAGCACAGTGCACAGGCTCTGTAGCACTAGCAAGGATCCTGAAATACTTTAGGTAGATTTTTAACTTTAAATTTTGCCCGGGCAGCGCCGTTAGGCTTCTCTTTTCGATTTCCAGTTGCCAAGGGATTTTTTTTTTCGTGCGCAACAATGTACACAGGCGTCCGATCTCACTACCCAGAGACCAGAGGGAATTACTAGAAGTCCAAGTCCACGTGAAAAAATCCCAGCTCTTACCGGGGATTGAACCCGGAACCTCTAGCACTTGAGGTGGACACCCTGCCTCAAGACCATGCAGCCACCAGAATAAAGCTTCTGAAAAAGACAAACAAAACACAGAGTGTACAGTTAAAGTCGAGAGGATCAACTTCACTGCACCAGAACAGCTGCTGACAGCATCGGTCAAAGCATGAACTCCATAGCTCCAGCAGTGATCCCTGGGGTTCCTCTAAAAATTGCACCCGCAAACTGAACAGTGTGACCATGAAACAAATGCATGAGAAAAGAGGAAAATGGCTTGACCAGTTTGCTATGGCAGTGTTCATAGGACAATTATCAAGTCTCAGTTTGCCATGGCAGTGTTCATAGGACAATTATCAAGTCTTTTACAGAATACCTTTTAAAAATACAACTGATATACTCACGGTAAAAGAAGATGAAGGGAAACAAACAGATTTACTTACTTTTATGTTACTCAGAACACAAAAAGCTGCTTCTAGCAAATCAACTGTATCTCTACTAACCTTTTCCAAGTTAATCAGCAGTATTTTGTGATCCTGAATACACCAGGTACATTCGTCAACTTTCACATCATTATACAGTGTACCGTCCAATACAGGTGGCTGCCCCTTTAATGCCACAGACAATTTCTGAAAGTAAGGGTACAAAATAACAACTCGTAATTTAGTTCTTTGGTTGTTTTATCAACAAAAAAGTATTCATCATCCTGTTGGGCTATTACAGGTTATATACGGCTCACAGTTTATTCCATTCCATCCTGTATAAGTAGAGACAAGGACCCTTTTCCATGCTTTCTGCGTATAGGGCTAGACCAATATTTTACGGACCAATCCTGTATGAGTAAAGAAAAGGACCCTTTTCCATGCTTTCTGCATTTAGGGCTAGACCAATATTTTACGGACCAATCCTGTATGAGTAAAGAAAAGGACCCTTTTCCATGCTTTTCTGCATTTAGGGCTAGACCAATATTTTACGGACCAATCCTGTATGAGTAAAGAAAAGGACCCTTTTCCACTCTTTCAACATATAGGGCTAGACCAATATTTTACGGACCAATCCTGTATGAGTAAAGAAAAAGGACCCTTTTCCAACTCTTTCAACATATAGGGCTAGACCGATATTTTACGGACCAATCCTGTATGAGTAAAGAAAAGGACCCTTTTCCACTCTTTCAACATATAGGGCTAGACCAATATTTTACGGACCAATCCTGTATGAGTAAAGAAAAGGACCCTTTCCACGCTTTCTGCATATAGGGCTAGACCAATATTTTATGGACCATGAGTGTCTAACCGCTACACCCCGGCTCCAAATCTATTCAGTGCAACTGTTTTAATATGGATAGAATCCAGTCCAGCACCTTTGGCCTCTCAGTTTTATCTAACATTTTTGAGTTACTGGCCTTATGCACAGGTGGGGAGGGAGGGAATTGTATTTATTCTGGGTGGTCACACGTGTGTCTGAGATTTAAGTGAGCAGACAGATATGTGATTCCTCTCTGAGAGACTCAAGTGATTCTGTGTGTTCTTGTTCGTGCTTGTGGTATTATATATTCATGTAATATGCTGAAAAAGGCTTTCTAGCCGCAGCTTTCACCGTTTGCGTTCGTGCTTGTGAAGTTTGTGCTGAGTGGTCATTTGTTTGATACTGACTTTATTTAACAAATGCATAAGAGGTTAGAAGACACATTCTATATAATATCTTCATTCCAACTGTAGATTTCATGACAGACTACAACAAGTCCCATAGAACATTAAAGAAAACAAACAACCTGTGAAATTAAATGCTTGCTGCCTAGTGAGAAAGAACTCAACGATGCTGGCAGCGAGAGCGTACAACATGACAATTTAAACATCAAGAGACAGAAAAACCTAGAAGAATATGGATTAAGAGAGTCAATGACAGCTCAAAACCTCAACATCACAGCAAATAAGTATGCTTTTGACTTGGCTACCCATCACCTGCTAAACTGCTCCACCTAGCACAAAGCATTGACAAAAGAAAGTTAACATAATTATTTCAATAACAATTAAACAGTTATGTAAAGAATTTTCCCCCTCACCTTGACTTGATGTTTGCTAAATTTATTGTGCCAACCCCATATTTGTACAAACTAATCAGCACTTGGGTGAACTGCTCAGTATCACACCAGTCACCTACACTTCCCGAGACATTTTCTGATGCCAGTTCTAATCTAGCAGCCTATTTAATTCTTGGACAGAAAGAGTTAAGGAAATAATATAGAAAGAGTGGACCCAATAAAATTTGTCTAGGAGATGACGAGTGACAACCACAGATGTTTAACAAAATCATGTAGGGAAGTAGGATTTTACCTAACAGAAACAGCTTGTTTAGGAGATGACGAGTGACAACCACAGATGTTTAACAAAATCATGTTGTGAAGTAGGATTTTACCTAACAGAAACAGCTTGTTTTAGGAGATGACGAGTGATAACCACAGATGTTTAACAAAATTATGTACTAAAGTAGGATTTTACCTAACAGAAACAGCATGAGCCCACCAGCTCACAGTAAAGGGCTCAAGTGAATAAAGGATCAGTTTAGACAAACCCACCTTGCAAGATAAGCTGCTAAGTTTAAAAACACAAATGACGTTTACATACCCTTTTCTCTATGTTAACAACAAGGTCCTTGCCTTTTAAAGGAAAGTTGACTGTAAATGGAATCCGAATCTAAAATCAAGAAATGTTTTTTAAAATCTGAGCAGACATAAAACACACTGTTAATGCAAAGTATTACTATATATCTCAAATCAAAGATGATTATAATATTATATATATACATATATAAAGTCACATATAATATAATATATATATATAAATAAAGTCACATAACCACTGGTTTTACTGTCTGTATTTACCACTTTTTTAGGGCAGTGCAAGAGGGGTGTCGACTCTGTGGCTAAGTCGATGCGAACGCTTCGTAATGCCGGGATGCCGGGTTCGATCCCAGCTGCGGGCCATGGGCCTTGCGTTGGTTTCGACAGTGGTATCAAAAAAGCCGACCATACAGAAAGCAATGGCAAACTACTGGATGTAAATTTGCCTAGAAAAACCACACAACAGTCAGGGGCTGTTGGGGTTGGTTCAGCAACGTCATGTAAAGGATACGCAACTAACCTTTTTGGTCGTGGGTTTGCTCCCTGGCGGAGCCGGACTTTTTTAGAAAATGACCTTGGCTCCCGGGTCGACCCAGCCTTGAGTGGGTACCGGTTGCAGTCCCCAGAAGTAGAGGCGGGCCAGCGTGATGCTGACCACATCACCCATCTTGTGCCGATTGGTCTATAAAAAATATAGGTCTAGCCCTATATGCCCTAAAGGCGTGGAAAATGGTCCTTTACTTTTTACTTACAGGACGGGTATTTTTTACCACTACCATGTTTCCCTCAAAATAAGACCTATCTAAAAAAAAAAGACACAGTTAAAACTGTTCGGATATTTTTTATCAACTCTACGCTCGCCCCTCCCAAAAAAGTCAGAGTTACGATCATCAGCTAGGATGAGAGACTGGGGTCAATGGTTCTACAGGAAATGGAGTAGCAAGAAATTCAGGCCTCTGAGAGTTGTGACAATAGGAGTCTCAAAGGTACAGTATCCGCCTTGAGTGCTGGAGGTCCCGGGTTCAAGCTCCGGTGAAGGCTGGGATTTTTTTTTTACACGCGGACTTCTAGTAATTTCTCTCCCCCCCCCCCCCCTGGTCTCTGGGTAGTAAGATCGGACGCCCATGTTATTCTTGCACACTTAAAAATCCCTTGGCAGTTGGAAATCGAAAAGAGTAGCCTAACGGCGCTGACCGGGCAAAATCTGGAGTTAAATATCCACCTAGAGTATTTAAGAATCTTCACCGGTGCAAGATTCTTCAGACTCAGGCTTGAGTTAGAAGTAGAATGCAGCACTTATGGGTTACACCCATGTGCCATGATGCTGATCCGTCGAATAAACAAACAAACATGACAATGTTCCAGAAGATGACATGACTGTATCTGAACATGGAAAAATTTAGATTTCTGTACGTGGAAAAAAATAAGACATTCCCTGAAAATAAGCCTCTAGTGCATTTTTGTAAAAAATGATATAAGACCCAGTCATATTTTTGGCAAAACATGGTACATGATGTGGGCAAAAGGAAAGTAACCCAAGAGCCTCTGCTATAATTTGATATGCTGGCCTGTTATGACCCTTTCTGGGGTGAGGGTCAAACCACCTCCTTTTTAGTATTCATCAGCTGCAAACCCTGGCAGAACATTTTGGTGGTTCATATACTTCTAGACTTAGGTCTTGCTCCAGAACTTGAGTTTTACAGATCTGGCTTATTCGTCAGCAGAAAATTAGTTCCTTGCCTCTCAGGCAGATGCAACCATGACTTCGAAAGAAAGGCTTATCCATGCTGGCCAGGACCTGAGTTGGGAGCCTGTTTCTAGGATATCCAGCGAAAGGTGTAGACAAGTGTTTCTTAAGCCTTTTTTGTGTGTGTGCCTACTGTCTCCCATAGCAACGCAAAGATTACAAAGTCTATGGTTAAGCACCAGCATGATCAAAATTAGAATTTTGAGAGCATGCATCTTCCCTGTAGCAACATAGGGATGTGAGTCGTGGACTATCTCCCAGTCCTTAGGAAAGAGAATAGGGGCTTTTGAGCTGAAATGCTATAGAAAGATTCTCAGAATATCTATGACAAAGAAGAGAAGAAATATTGACATCTTGAAAGATCTAATCAAGGAAGACTGGCTGGCTTATAAACAGCATCCTGTCTCGGATGCTGAAATATTTTGGTCGTATCAAGTGCCACAACGGATTGGAAAAAATTACAGCAAAAGGCATGGTACCAGGAAGGAGGGGCAGGGGCCAATCAACACAATGATGGGCACAAGATATAAGTGACTCCTTGAGTATGAAAGTACATGAGACTGGACAGCTGGCGAGAGACCGAGTTTCTTTCAGGCAGACCCTGATGAGAGCGAGGTTCTGCAAAGGACATGATGATTATGATGCCTACCGTCTCTTGTCAAATGAAAACATTCCTCAGCACCCACCCCCCTCTCACAGCAAATATCAATATCATGAGTCATGCCGATAAAGACAGGCGATCATGATTCTTCATACACAATCATATTTTCAGGTTTGTATAGTTTTCCCAAGTTCGTTTTCGCTGCTACAGTCCATGAGATTGAGGCGTATTTCATCATAGGCCTCCTGCTCCAGTTTAGACTTGTCTTTATTTTTTTTTTAAAGACTTTCATCCCAGTCATCATCATCATCATAAACCACTTCTGCAGTTAAGCTTCGTGGGGAGGAATAACTTGCCATTCAGTGCACGTTGGCTGCCACTGGCTATTGTATGTTCTGTTAAGTTTTTTCGTTACAGTGAGTCTGTGTATATAGCTTTTTGACTGGATTTTCTTCTAATTTTCAGCCCCCACCAAATGTGTTTTAGTTTTAAAATGTTGGTTGCTTTTCTAACATAATTAATATTTTTATCTTTGTGTAGAAACAGACTTTTGGTGTTGCGTTTCTTTCAGTCTTTGATTGATATGATTGAATTACTATATAAAAGCAGCTGCTCACTGTTCTGTTCAGTTACTATGTAAAGCAGAATGTGTTTATACTGATGTTATTATAATTGTGGTTTTTTAATTTTAATATACAGTAATAGAATAATAACATCAATGTTTTGTGGTTCATGTTTGAATGTGTTACAAAAAACTTCTTCTTTAGCTCTTTATTCCTCAATGGAGCATTAGCCCCCATCCCACACTAAGCTGTCCTATCCACTGCTATCACATGCAGCTAACCACAAGTCCTCCCTGTCTTCTTCACTCACTCGCTACTTCCAATCTCCAGGTAATTTTTTTTTATTTGTTTTTACTCTGATGTGTCTTTATTTTTCTGACAATGTGGGTAATTTAACATGGTATCAGGTAAACAATAAACTATCTAGCAATATGTGAGGTCATAATACAAGGCTTTCAGAAACAAAGTATGAACCCAAAAATTCAGAAACCAGCCAATCACAAAAGTACACAAATCACTCTAATCTATTAAGTACGCCTCTCATTCTCTGACATGGCCACAAAAGTCATGGAAACATAGGATGAGTAATCCTTTCAAACTAAAAGTGCGTGAAATGCTACCTCCACTTCTTGCAAGGTTTGAGTCCAACTATAGTCTGGCAAGTCTGCACCGTTGCCAGCATTTGGTTTTAGCTTTCCTTTGTCTTTCTCATCCTCTTCATCATCACTTGGTGACTTAAATATAGAAAAAAATAGTTTGCTGAAGAAGGAATGTACAATTATAAAATGATACATCGATTTACTTTCAGTTTCAGAGGTTTCATATTACACTTCAGAAAAAGCCAGAAGAAAACTGTCATTCTTTAAAAAAAATGGACATAACTTTCAAAGAGGCTTAGCACTTCTTCTTTACTTTCTCTAGTTACTTGTGTTGGAGGGGGAAGTAAGGATCTTCTGTGTGCTCACTACAATGCATTCTGTAAGTTGGTCTTCATATCTTTAAGGCTGTTCTTGATGATGTTCTTCATCTTCTGTAAGGTCTTCTCCTTGCTCTGTGTCCATTATATTTCTTCAGTGTGGCTCTCTGTGGCAGTTGGTAAGATGGCATTCTCATCAGTTGACCAAACCATATAATCCATTGCTTTCTAACTTACTGTAACGATAGCAGCTGTACCAAAGAGATCAAGACAAGGCTTGATATGGCAAACAGTTGCGATTTCGCAGCTGAATACGATGTGAAAGGGAGAAATCATTGCAGTTAAGGTCAATATATAAAAATCACTGGTATTGTCTATTTTCTTACACGGATGTGACAGTTGGACTCTGTTTGATTTCTGATTTACACTGACAAGTAGAGTGAACTAATTAGGGGTTTCTTTTGAAACCAACAGTGCAAACAAATTAGCCAAATCTGTAGAAAGGTCATGCACACAAAACTCAAGTTCTGAAACAAGACTAAACTCCAGAAGCGGATGAACAACCAGAACCTTCCGCCAGAGTTTACAGCTGGTGAACACGAAGAAGAAGAAGAGACCTGGGTGGGAGGTAAGCATGCTAACATTGCCCTACTCTGCTTCCATAAAGTAAAAGACCAAATAAATCTACCATATTTCAGTGCCATCACCATACTAAAGGTCAACAGTGATGCTTCCACTTCCGGTCTGGGACCTTCATGATGCTGACTACTTGCAGCATAGCAAACAGTGAGGCTAACATGGAATGTCAGGCACATGAAGAGATCCTAAATTAAGTAATCTCTGATAAGGAATAACAGATGGCAAAAGTGTAACAGATATTTTTTTCAAAGGGATGAAGGGTTAAAAATTTACTTGACAATATTATGGTGATACTTATAAACAGATTAAAAAAAGCAAAAACAATAAAAATGTTATTAAAAGTAAGATCTTCATTGCACTGGATTGTATCCCATTTCTTCTTTGAGTGGTTAGCTGCCAGCCAAAGCATTGCACAGAGTCTGTAATGACTTTATGGATTTGTGAAAAAATATTTCATTGACTTAAGGACACATTTCTACCACATGTGGGCGGAAAGAACAGACCCCCATTACCTGCCTAAGAAGCATGTTGTAAAAGGCAATTAATTTGGGGGTTTTTTTCTTCAGTCGGAGAGCATCTGCCCAAGTGGCAAGAACCAACAACCTGCACACAATATGCCAGATCTGTAAAATGGATGTGCAAGCTTAATCTCAATTCTGAAACAAACTAATATCCAGAAGTTGATGAACAACTATAGCCTTCCGCCTCTAAAGCGATGCTAGCCATTCTGCATGCAGTCTGTCTTTTCCCCACCTTTCTCAGCTTGTTTTGTGAGTCACAATCAAGCTAGCAGAAAGCTGAGGCACTAGAAATACATACTAAATATGTAAATAGATCCTGACAAATAAGTTATATTTCAGAAAAGTAAGAAATATAGAGGTCACTAAACTGAAAGGGGCATGGGACCATTTATTTTTGAAACTTAACTAGTTTGGGGGATCACTGGTTTAGAGAAATTGCTCTCACAGCTTTCAATATGAGAGACCTGCAGGTATTAATGACAATAATATCAATCTGTTAGTTTGCAAAGAAGTAGATAATGTGTATATTTGCACACACAAAAGTTAGTTGCAGAACCAACCCCAGCATTTTTTGTGTGGCTGTTGTGGTTTTTCTAGGCAAGTTTGCCATTGCTTTCTGGATGGTCAGCTTCTCGATACCACTATCGAAACCAACACAAGGGGCAAGGCCCACAGCTGGAATTGAACCCAGTACCCCAAAATTATGAAGCGTGTTTGCAACGCCTAAGCCACAGATGCCGACTTAATTTGCAAAGAAGTAGATAATGTGTTAGTTTGCAAAGAGGTAGATACTTATAAAAGTTAAAAAACGGTTACCTTATCTTCATGTGTCTTCTCAACTTCATCATTAACAGCAGAAGCCATTTTTTCCTGAAAGTAAAACAAAAGCACTTTTTTTTTTTTTCAATGTTCATGACAACTCATTCCATCAATAGTAAGATGTGTTGTTAGTGTACAGTTCAGGAGAAAAAAATGAACAGGTGAAGAGCTGTGTTGCCTTTTATCCTACAGACAATTTTCTGGTACTAATTTTCATAGACTAAGTTGATCCTGAAGCCATGGGGTCATGACAAATGCCTACTTTGATAAAAGCTAACACAACTCAAGCAGTACAGCTCAAATTAGAAGAATAACAGTTAAAGACATTACATATATGGGTCCAAGTGTAAAATAGAGACCCGAAATCCACACAGGGAAGTGGCAGACCAATAAAAACATTTATAACAGATACATGTATAGATCAATTAATGCAGACAAAGGGGGAAAATAGAATTATTCAAGACTTAATGCCAAAGGTAGAAATACTTGATGATGGTTAATAATTAGAAATGATAAGATACCTAAGTATCAGATTACACAACACAATACAAAATAGATAATAACTCAATAATGCATAAAGAACAGACAATGAACACACACAAAATTACCCCATGATGTACAGTGAATGGGTAATGACCCTTCAATGCACACAGAACAAATAACAATCAAATAATGCACAAATAATATATAAAGAACCAACAATACACACAGAACAGATTATATCACAATAATGCATGCAGAAAAGATTATGGCCAATTAATGCTTACAGAACAATAACTCAGTAATTCACAGACAACAAACACTGACCAAATATTGCCCAAGAGAAGTGATAATGACCTATATTGCCTCACCCTTTTGGCTAAGATCAAAGTGTAGTATCTGCTGCACTTGGTCTGGCCAAAAAGCGCCGGGATGGGTCCCGAACTCATGGGAGTAACTATCATGGCATGAGCCATAACAAATGCAGAGCCGGGTGGGGTGGTTTCCCCAGGAGGGAAAAAAATATTTCAGAGAACAGATGCACAAATATTAGATCTGCTTTCTTCTTTTGTCCTACTGCTTATACTGTCATGAGTCACAAAGGAGTTAGGTTGTTGTTTCCTTCTTTTACTAGTTGTGTAGTTTGAGTTAATGTCATACTGCATTTCTGTAGTATCTCTTTAACTCCCTTCACCCATTTTATTCTTGGTCAACCTCTTGACTTGTAGCCTGGTTTTTTCATACAGAATGCTCTGGTTGCAGGTTGATTTTGTTCCATTCTGACCAGATGACAAAACCAATTGATTCCTTAATGTTTTCTGAAATCATTTACTGGCACTTAGCCTACCATAGTTTTTAGTTCTTTACTAGTGACCCTGTCTCTTCTTGTTTCACCTGCTGCATTTCTTATACATCTCATCTCTCAAGTTGTTATTTTGTGCTAATGTTTTTCCAGGGTTTGCCATGCCTGGCACTGACAGCACAAAGTTGGTATGAAAAGCGCATTTATTTATTTTTCTTGAACTTTCCATGCCTGGCATTAATAGTACAAAGTTGGTAGGAATAGTGCACCCATCAGCCACTATTATGTGTGCATTTGATGCCTCAAAAAGTGGCTCTATTTGGTCATTTGCGCTGTTGACCTATATTCTGCTTCCTATTTCTATGTCCAGTTCCCCATCATCAGTGGATACACTGCCTAGAAACTTGGAACCTTTTAGCTTACTTCAATGTCTTTCCTTCAACTGAGATGAAATATCGAACTGACGTTATGTTAACTATCATGATTACAGAATAGATAATGACCCAATAATGAACATAGAATATAACATGACCAAATAATGGACACAGACCAGAAAATGACCCAATAATGTACAGAGAAGGGATAATGATCCAGTAGTGCATAACAAATAGAAAATGATCATTAATACAAAGAAGACAGATATTACTTTAAAAAACCTCCAGTGGGAATTAAAAAAACAAAAAATAATCTGAATGAAAGAGTTCAAAACTTTTACATATTCTTCACAGCCATACTTACATCGTGCAACTCTTTTTCCAGTTTTTCAGCTTCCTCATCTGTGAGTTCCCTAATTTTTGGCTCCTCTTCCACCTCACGCCTCTCTTTTTCTTCTGCAGCCTTCTTTTTTGCCAGATTCTCTTGTCTTCTCTTTTCAGCAGCTTCACGTTCTTCCTTTTCTTGCTTCAATCGCTCTTTAACAAGATTTTCGTATTCTTTATATTTTGAGATCACCAACTGCAATTAACCAAACAAATGTCAGTGAACAAAAGGCTATTTTTCAGACCTTCGAGGTATAAAGGATCAAAGGTGATTTTTTTTTTTTTTCAGACTGAACAGCCATTTTAAGCTGGATCAATTTGGAAGCCTACACAATTTTTTTTTTTTTTTTGGCATCACAGACTAAATGGAGCATGTACTCTCCATCTTTTTTAAATTCACTTTCTAGTTCCTTTCTAAGTGTGCCTTCTGCCTCTATCCTTACATCTGTGAGATCCAGTGCAAAGACAATCTAGCTATATTGTTGTCAGGTTTTTTCCATATATGTACCTTTGGGTTTAGGTGTATACAATGGAACAACATCATGGCACAAGGGTAGTAACCCATAAATGTTCCGTTCTACTTTTAACTAAAGTCAGAGGTACTGTATGTACCTATTAACACCAGCATCTTTTCATCACCTCTTGTTTATTTTAATTATTTTATCATACCATTTAACTCCCTCTGTCGGCATCTGTGGCTTAGATGTTGCGAATGCTCTTCTTAATGCCGGGGTGCCAGTTCGATCCCAACTGCAGGCCTTACGCTTTGCGTTGATTTTGATAGTGGTATCGAGAAGCCGATGGTCCAGAATGCAATGACAAACTATTGCATCTAAATTTTGGTAAAATGCTGGGGTTGGTTCTGCAATTTTCTGTTAAGGAAAGGCAACTAACTTTTTTTGAAACTCCTTCTATTCTGCATAGGCACTAATTATAGAATGTTTATAGCTTACAGTAAAACCTCATTAACATGAATTCCAAGGGCCTGAAAAAAAAAAGAGTTTGTGTAAAATAATATAAAAAAGGTGTGCTTATCAAGAATTAACATTTTTTATAACTAATGTGCACCCCTGCTGGTACCAAACTTTTGTTCGTATTATCTGAGTGTTTGTCTTAAGTGAGTTTGCGTTAACAAGATTTCACTATAATTCATTTTTTTAAAGATGTTTTATTCTTCCTTTTGCTGAGATTTTACAATAAACAGCGTGAATCTGGCCTCATCATATACTATCTCTATATCAAGATCAAGTAGTTTTCCATCTTCCTTTGCCAATCTGTCAGTCTCTTCATTGTGAATAAGTTTAATATTTTCATAATATAAGAATTAGAGCATTCCAGCTTTAACCTCTGATCCCAAGTTGATATACTGAATGTGTAGACTTTTCAGACATACACAATAAACAGGAGCTCAATTTAAAATGACCTACTCATAATGCATGTGTAATTATGACATTAGAAGGATTCACCCATCAGCATAATCAGAATAAGAACACAGAGCTGATCCAAGATTCTAGTGATCCTGTGATTGTGGTAAAGCAAGATCATGGTTGCCTTTTCACAACATATGTTTGTTTGTTTTCGTATCCATAAGCCATGAGTTGTTAACCCTTAGGCTCGGTATTATGGATATCGCAATCTTTCGGCTTTGATTCCATTGTAAATACCGTAAATCTTGGAGAAAAGTAGCTTTTCTGCCTACCCCTGGAAGTGAACCCGGACCACAAGGAGTTCGTCACCCGGTCACAGCGCAATCCGGTTTAGCCAACTACCCTGGAGAGCCGGGCAACATCTCTGTTAAGCGGCATTCAATCTATTCCTCAAACATTCCCCACCCCAAGTGGTGTTCCAGAACCCATACACAAAAGCATAACATGGCATATGATGATTATGGCTATGGTGTATGCACAATGGTTCCTCGTCAATTTATGGACATAGTGAACTGTGTTGAAATGCTCCTAGTGCAATCTAAACAAAAACAATAACTAAAAAGGTATCAAATCAGAGGGCTAAAAGATAGTTTTAGTGTAACAAAGATTTTGTCCTTGAATTCAAAATTTTAGTTGAAAAAGATTAGTTTGACATAACAGAAAATAAAATGGCAATAAATACCTTCTCCGCCTGCGTTCCATCAGTGCCAGAATAAAAATCTGTCTTCCGTGCAAGGAAACCAAAGAAGACATCCAGTAACTGAGGAAAATAAAATAAATGAATATCTGGTGCTTTATTAATATCCTACCTCAAACAGGGAAAATCCACAGGTCAAGGGACAGTCTAATATTTCAGGGGGTGGTAGATAGGTTGCATGCAGTCGTGGGACCTGGGCTGCACTTTCTTGTGGGACATAGGTGGGGTGGAGTTAGGGACCAGCCTTACTACCCTCCAAAATGTTGGACTGTCCTGTGATGTTATCTGGGGTAGGATATTAATAAAGAACCTCTTCTTCTAAGATCATCTAAAGAAATAAATGTGTTATGCCAGTTCACAACATAGCTGCCATAGCTGCAACTTTAGCTGACACATCCAACCTGATCAGGCACTTGTTGCTTGGTGTAGCCTTCCCAAATAGTTTTGTGGAATACTGCACAGCTTCAGTTTTGTGTCGTCATCTTTGACTCCTTGTCCACATGTGGTTTCCCTGCCCCAATCAAGCTGTTCCAGAGCAGCCAGCAATTATGGTCAGCCTTCAAAAGAAGGAAGGGACAGAAAATTATTCCTCACCATCCATGAGTCTTCTAGAGATGCTGAGCTAAAATATGGCGCTCTGGAACTTGGTCACTCAAGGAATTGTCATCTCCTGCTCACTTTTGTAATTTCAATCCTCTCAATCATCATGTGATGCATCTTGAGAAGCCAGCAGAAGGCAGCCTACAGACATGGAACTTTGTTTACCTTCACAAAATGAGAGCTTAGCATCTTTTAAATTAGTTATCTAATCTGGTTCTTTAGCTCTGGAGCATTACGTGGTTTATGTAAATTGGTGAAAGCAAAAGTGTAATCTTTGAAGTAGTACCTGCATGCTCATTTATTTCTAATATGAAGTGAAGAAGCCTGTTGTCTGACCAGGTGTTTGTACACAGTCTGACAATTAAATTATGAGATTGCTTTTATTGTGGCCAAAACAAATTATGACATCCATGAGGCAAAGCTATTATCCAAACAGGCACTATTCATCTATGATTTAGCAAAATTGTAACTTCACCTGGTCAGCAGACAACAAGTAAGCTGTCCTTCTGTTTAGCTAGCGAAAGTTGTGCCGTTATGTATGCAGCATGGAGCCGATGGTGAACATGAATTCTGTTTCAATCTCTGTAACGTTTTGACTTGTTTTAAATTAAATCAGTGTGATAGTTTTTGTGTAATTTTTCATACCAACAATAAGGGATCCAGAACAATAACACTGCTCTGTTTATGAATCTGAGCTAGTGATGATAGTCTTGGCATTATGATTCATAATGCAAGTGAAGCACCTTCTGCCAACAATACAGGTTAGGATAAAATCGAACAAAATCTCTCACAGAATCGTTCCTGTTTCAATCAGCTGTGCCCAGAATTTGGTAGCTCTAAAATTCTTCTTTTCCTTCCTCCAAGTGACGTAGCTGCTTTGTGCCTGTTTACAGCAAAGCTGCGATATTTGCACTTTTAAGCCGATACATCCTTCATCAAGCATTTGCTGACTGGGTTAACTTCTGGGACAGTTTCATGGACACAATGTAACCAAATTTGTTCTCTTTCTCCCCTTGTCTACAGGTATTGTCCCTGGAGAACTTCTTCAGGGCAACCGTGTGTAGACGGTCAGCCCTTAAGGAAAGGCAGGGACGGATCACAAGCATTCTTCACCATCTACAGAGGCTTCTAAAAATGCAGAGCTGAAACAAGATGCTCTTGTCCTGGGCTCACTCAAGGAATTGTCATGTCCTGCACAGGCTTCACATCCATATGTTGAGCTTCCCACTTGTCAAGGGCTGCGCCCTACGGAGATCAGCAAGGAGCAGCCTGCAGGTCTGATGACTATATAAACAGATACATTTTTCTTCAGCAGATTCAACAACTCAAGGCTCTTTGACCTGGACCGGACTTCAAACGACTGTATAAAAGGCATGCATCAGGCATGAGTTTGGTCCCTAAACTCCGGCGAGTGGGCAATTGGTAAGGGACATTTTATGGCAGTTCAATATGTGTGATGTAAATGTATTAAAATATGTCATAAATAAATTTTATTCTGTAAATAATTCATTATATTGTTAAGTCTTATTATCCTGAACATACTTGTATTATGGTTGCTAAGGTAAATTGCATATTTCCAGAAACAAGAAAGTAACAACAGTTAAAACGCATTTTCTGGAAGTGCTGAAACAAGTAATTTACTCTTATGTTCCAACTGTTCATATAATTTAGCTTATAAATTAATTTCTCAGCTTAGATTTGACGTATAATTTTTATGTGGAATTTAACTATTATAGTTGCGTTATTTAAAAATAATTGAGAAATTCTGACTAGTCTCTTTCTTAGTCTTTCTTAGACTAGACACACACACTCTCTCACACTGGACTAGCTGTTGGAATAGTGAGTCATTTAAAATACTAGAGTAAAACTAAACTCACCTCTTGAACACCACCTTCACATTGCTGTGCAACTGCTAATAGCATGCCATCGAATCGCTCTAGATCAGTCTGCGACGGCATCTTTAATTCAAGATAGTTTTAGGGTACCCAGTTCTAAAAACACTGGGAAACGCTGTCATAAACAAACCACCAACTCACAAAGGGTCACGTTCCTATTATTTCCGGGTCACAAATAATTTGCGTTGTACAGTATAGTTACCAAATAGAATTTGCCTTGTACTGCGTCGTGTTTTATCCATTAATCTCTCTCTCTCTCTCTCTCTCTCTCTCTCTCTCTCTCTCCCTCTCTCTCTCTCTCTCTCTCTCTCTCGCTCCCCCTCCCTCTCTCACATACACAGTACAGCCAGCAGTGCGACGACAGCTCGCACAAAACATGAACATCATCGCTCCAGCGACGATCGTTTGGGATCGTGAAAAATTCACTGATGTTCCTAACTAATCACACATCAGAGACCGAATCGACTTTTAGCTCACCGGTAGACGACTTTATCGCCGGTCAGACAATAGTTGCGTCTGTCGGTTCTTTATTTTTCAATCAATCAATCAGGTGCCGTCTCCACAATGAAGGTTGGCTGCAATGGATCTCCAACAAGCCCTGTCTCTTGCCCTTAATGTACACTCACTCATACTGCTGTTCGTCCATCTCTTGATGTTATCCTCCCACTTGTAACGCTGTCTGCCTTTTGCACGCCTACCTTGAACCTTTCCCTCTAGGATGATCTTTACAATACTGTTATGTCTTTTAGTGTGGCCAAAATATTTCACTTGTCTCTTTTTGTTTTCACCTAGCAACTCTCTTTTCATTCCCAATTTCCTCAGTACCTCTATTTGATAGCTTTTGTTTCTATGAAATACGACCTAATCTTCTGTATATCCACATCTCCAAAGAATTGATACGATTTTCCAGTTGTTTGTTCATTGTCCATGTATCTGTGCCATACAGTAAGGTTGAGAATACATAACATTTGACAATTCTCATTTTTAATGTATTGCTTATTTCTCTTGATGTCAGAAACTTTTGTATGTTGTTGAAAATGTTTTTTGGCTATCCCTATTCTTTTCTTGACTTCTGCTTCACTTCTGCCGTCACATGTTATTACTTGTCCAAGATATAAGAAATTTTTAACTTGTTCCAATTTCACCCCATTCACTGTGATATTCATTGTTAGCTGATTATTTTCTTTGCTAAATATCATGGTTTTTGTCTTTTTCAAATTTATATCTAATCCAAATTTTGCAATCCTTCTGTTTACTTGCTCCACTAGGTCTTGCAACTCCTGATCACTCTCTGCTAGCAACACTGTGTCTTCCGCATATCTCAGATTGTTTATTATTCTACCATTGATTTGCAGTCCTGGTAGTTCTACAATTTCTTTAAAAATGGTTTCTGTACATAAGTTGAAAAGGCTAGGCGACAGCACACATCCTTGTCTTACTCCTCTCTTGATCTCTATCTGGGGTGAGCAGATGTTGTCATATCTTACTGTTGCTTCTTGCTCCCAGTATAAGTTTCTAATAAGTCTGATTTTTTATAAACTTTATTTTTATTATTTTTTATTTTTATCTTTTTTTTTAGGCGACCACAAATAACGTCACGGGTCAGTCTAATTTTTCCGGCGTCGGCGTCTTGACGTCTTGAGTGTGTATTTCTAGCCGTAAGAGTTCAATCTTCGCCATGAATTTCCTTGAATTTGCAGCATATGTACATAACAAAAAGAACAGCGTTGCTTTCCTGCAACATCATAGCATTTTGAATCACCAGAACAATACTCTGTCGCTCTGCCGCCGCATCAGTTGCCGCATTCCAACATCTCTGCAGATCTACTAATGTGAAATTGCTATGATTGTGAGCGCATCAAACGATCCCAAAACATCTAGAACTGGCACTAACCCCAACCCACCTACGTCCCACGAGAGAGTGCAGCCTAGGTCCCACGACTGTATGTGGCCTAGGTCCTTCGACTGCATGCAGCCCGACGACTGTATGCAGTGGATAATATACGCAGTGTCCATTTCAAGAAGGCTATAATTATCAATATTACAAATCGATACACTGAATCTAACGTGTAAAATTGTTTTGATTGTCAATTTGTAAACTCAGCAGTATACCTCCATGAAGACGGGTCCTTTTTAGGGCCATCCCCAAAGTACCCCAATTGGCAAGTAATAGTGCCCATTGCACATTGAGTTCACACACACACAAACTGCAAAACTGCATCCTCCTCCTCTGAGAAAAAAAAAACTACATCTCCCCGATTGCACACACACACAATGCACATCCAAAAAAAAAAAAAAAAAAAAAAAAAAAAAAAATTCACAGCACACAATACTGAAGCATACAAAACTGAAAAATACACAGCCCAAAACTGCACAGAAAATTAAATGCCAAATTACAAAACTATACGCTTAATCTACCACCCCTAAAATATTGGACTGTCCCGTGACCTGTGGATTTCCCCTGTTTGTGGTCGCCTAAAAATAAATAACTCGTCTGTCTCCTTTGATCACATCAATACTGCAGGAGTTCATTTCAGGGCTCTTGTTAGCGAGCTGTAATGACTTACGTTGTTGTGATATCCAGTAAACAACCAAACAATGAAGCACGAATGTTTGTTGTGATGTGCGGAAGTGAATCAGGGAGATGCAAGAACCGACGTCACAGCCCTCAGAGCATTCCCATAAGCGCCCCGTTCCCATTTTCAGCAGCCAGTGCAGAGTTCTAATACTAATAGTGACAGTAGTAGTCTAATTATACATCCGTCTTGCTCTTCCTCTGAAGTTCGAATATGAGTCAGATCCCCGCGTCACTCTCCCTCTGCATCACTCTCACCAGACTTCGGGGTAATCCATTTGCTCCTTCAAATTGTACTGCGTCTACCTTATCATGAATCACTATTCAACTAAGTTGGGCAAGGCCAGCCAGTTTGTCCGTCTGTTCATTTCTCATCACACGCCACAATCAGGGACAGTTAGTCGGTTAGTGAAAGATTATACGGAGATTTCAGATTAATGGTTTTACAGACGAATGATGCTAACACCGTGGAAATATGAAAGGAGGAATGGAGATGCCTCAAAAGAAATTCACTCATGAAGCGAACTGATTACCAGCATGAGAAGGAGCCCATCATGACCTACTTTACTGACTATATAGTAGGTCACGAACCGATAAATGATGACTAGACCCATGTTTAAAAACAAATACAAAATATTAAAAGCGAGGACGCAGCAACCTCTGTTTGAGGCACAGTTCTTGCGATCTGCCTTTATTATATATATATATATATATATATATATATATATATATATATATATATAATTTACATTAGTCACATCATCATTTTGCAAGATAGCAAGAAAACATCCGTGAGGCACAATTTATAAGACTTGCAAATATACAATAAGACAAAGTCGCTTATGCTACACTCCGTCAGACGAAGAGGGAAACAGACTGTCGGACAGCTATATTTGAAGGGACGTCTAGCTGGTTAGACGGACAGACTGCCTTTAAAACCGTATTTTTTACCTATATGACCTAGCTTGTTCCCCCCCCCCCCCCCCCCCCCCGCCCCCACACCTTCCCCCGCCCAAAATCGTCACGTTCAACCAGGATCACTGACGGGGAAAGCTTTGCGTTATAATTGTGACTAAAGATTACCATCATTGTCATCAGGTGCCTTGCAGACTGGCATGGGCGATCATGCCTCTCCACAATCTGTGATCTCCTGCAGCATTATTAGTTCGTGTGCCTACACACCTCCATACTATGGAACAAGACTGTCAAGCATCTTCTCTCGTTGTCTTCCTCTATCCCTCATTACACAGATCTTTCCAGTGGTCACAACATGTTCTATTTTCCCTCTTCTCATACCAAGGCCGAAAAATGATGACTGTCTCCTTCTGATGTCTATGATAAGTTGTCATCGGGCTCCCGCCTCTTTCCAGGATGTTTCTACCATTTATTTTTTCTACAGTAGCTGGATAACGGTCGGGTATTACCCGTAGAACATGATGCTCCCTACCGGACGAGATGATTCCACTGGAATCTCTATTCACGTCGTTATCTGAATTCTAATATTTTTAGGCATGATTTACTAGGAATAATACAGCGGTGGTTTCCCCTTGACTTTCGCCGGTTTGTTTATGGGTTGACTCCAAAAGCCTTTGTATAAAGAGACTTACCCTCCAAGGCAGCTGGTGAAGGGAGGGGGGGGCGTAGGGGGGGGTGTTATGGCTCCTCTTACCCACCGATGGCCACGTCGTAGAGTTTTGAGGTATTTTATAGAGTAAGCTGTCCCACCAACTAACTCGCATTCTCTCAATGACCATCACCTGTTTTGGTCCACGGCCACTGATTCAATATATTCGTGGCTAACCTTTATATCTTGAGGCCTTTCCATCATCTGCCACCAGGCGAACGCGCCTAGTAGTAGGACAGGCTCCTACCCCAGGAAAAGATTATGTGTGCCATATAAAATGGCTTTGCATTGCTCGCCACCAAGTAGCTCTAAAATACTCTCTTGCAGTGTTGATGCGAGCAAAGGAGACAGACCCAAATACTGTCCCGACCGGCAACGAATTAGTCTACCGGCGAGCCAGTGGCAACCAGTGGCTTATGTGATTTGATTTGATTTGAGAACCGACATCACAGCACTCTGGGCATTCCCATAAGCACTCCATCCCCATCTTCAGCAGCCAGCGAAGAGTTTCGATACTAATGGTGCCAGTAGCATTCTCATTAAACGTCCGTCTTGCCTTTCCTCTGAGCCTCGAGCATCTGCCAGAACCTCTCGTCACTTCCCCCTGCATCAATCTCACCAGACTGTAGTGATCCATCTGCTCCTCCGAACTGTACACGCTCTCCCACAAAGCACTAACCACGTCTGACTTTTCATTGATAAGTATTCCACCAAGTTGTGCAGAGCCAGCCAGTCTGTCCGCCTGTTCATTTCCCAACACACCGGCGTGACCCGGTGAAAAAATCCAGACAATACTCCTCATCCGTGTCCTACGCAGCGAAGCATGCCACTCTGCACGAAGCATGCCTGTTCTGATCTTCCTCAGCATGCTTTCTGAATCATTTACAATCACGATGTGTGTGTCGTGTTCTCTAGCCAGCTGAAAGCTGCAGTGACCGCCTCCACCTCCATTCTTAAGCTGGATGTTGTGGTATCATATGCTAGGCTCTCCTGCACCAAACGTCGACCACTAACTTTTGCTAAGAAGCCCCAAGTACTTCTTTTGCCTCTTGACACTGAACCGTCTGTGTAAATGATCAAATCCTCTGAGCGAACATTATCTTGAATTAATTTCTGAATTTCCACCTCTGGGGCACCTGCTGGCCAATCTCTTCATTCCTGGCTCAGCGTGATTATGACTCTACACAAGTCTGACTGTTTAGGTGGCACTTTGACCCACTCTTTTCCTCGCCTAATGTTCTCATGGATACAAACCTGTCTGATTGTGTCTTCTGCCTGAGCCATCCATGACCTCCCTCTTATCAGCCACTGAGCCTTAACTGCACCCAGAGCTTCATGCAGAGGGTGGTCTGTGTCTGCAGCTACCCTGAGATTTTATTTCGCCTGCAGCGTCTTGTGCCTACCTGCAACCGTCGGCAACCCAAGGATGTATTGCATACACACCACTGGGGTGTCTCTGGTGCAACCCAGAATGACCCGCATAGCCGAGTTCTGAGTGCGCTCTAGTTTGTCTGTCTGAACCTTTGAGACGGTAAGCATTCCCAGGCCATAATCCACCACTGTCAGGATCATGTGCTGATATAGTGTGAAAAGCATTCTCTGCTTTATGTCAATTGCAGCCAGTCTTAAGCGCACGAAGTCCTTTTTGGCATCTCGTCACAACACTCTCCACATGGTCGTTAAATGACAGGCTCCTGTCAAATGTAATTCATGTCGTATCTCACTCTGTTATAAGCATCCTCGAGATCCAGTCCTACCGCCATAGTTTCCTGTCTGTTCTGAAACCCTTCATAGACGTCAAAAGCAAAAGTGGCCGCATTTGCCCAAGTGTCCTTTCCTAGCCTGTAGCTTCCCAGACCTCTTGGGAGAAGATTACGCCTTTCCAAAAATTCTTGCAGCTTTACAGCAACTATCTTCTCCAAGACCTTCCCAAATGTGTTTTGTAAGGTGATGATTCTAAAGCCACTGAGCTTAGAATGATCTTTAAAAGGTTTTGTTAGTGGAATTAAATAGCTGTGCACCCAGTCTTGCGGTACTGATGCTGTCTTAATGCTCTGGTTAAAACAGTCGGCCATCTTTGCCAGGTCTACATCGCTCAAAGCCTTCATGTGACCATACCTGACTCTATCAGGCCTTGTTGCAGCTACTTTTTTTTTTTTTCAAAATCTGTTTGATATCTTCCACTTGTATCATGTCTTCATAATGCATATTTTTCAAGGTGCCAGCTAACTCCTTTCTAACTGCATCCCTGATGTCTACATCATTATGATCTGTCTGAGCTATAAACCTATGGAGAAAAGTCTCCCCTTTATCTTTGTCTGTTGTCACACGCACACCAACGTCTCTACAAACTGCTCCGACTGTCTTAGGCCGATCTTTTCTTTGCATCTGACTTTGCAGTTTCCAAAAATTTCCCCAATGTTTTATCGCCTCCCATATCCTTCACAAGTTTCCCACTTTGCTCTTTTGGCCTCTGCAGCACAGCGCTTGAAATCCTCCACCGTATCCTTTTTCACATGCTCCGCCATCTCCACTTCCTCTCGTGAGCTTGAGGGTGTCTGTCGTACTTTCTTTAGCTGCTTCACTGCTGTTTTCTTTGCCTTCCACGCCTGTTCTGCTTCTGGAGTCCACCATGGGGGCTGTAGAAAATTAGTTCTGGCAGTTCTGTTGCATGCTCCCTGTCTGAGGCGTCCAAGTAGGTTGTTGGTCCACATATACCGGAAGGTCTTGCGTGCTGTCCCAACCTTAACCTTACTGAGTTTAGAAATCAAGACTGAACATGGTAGGTGATCACTCCCATGGTCATTCAGGACAGTCCATTTAACATCTAAAATCGACGACTGAGAGACAAATGTCAAGTCAATAGCTTTGTCTGCATCTTCAGACCTCATTGCCATCCTAGTCGGCCTCCCATCATTGATGCAGACCATTTTGGAGTCAGCCATGACCTCTGCAAGAGCAATTCCCTGTCGGTTTTCTCTGCTTCTGTCCCATTCTCTGCTCCTCGTGTTGAAATCCCCACAAATGAGTAACCTATCACATGGTAACTCCTCAAATTCTTTTAGCCAGCCCCATTGTTCACTTCTGACAAAACAGTATACCGTGGCATATATATTTATGAGGTTCCAAATTAAGCCACCAATCTTCACCTGTATCCCTTGAACCTCTCTTCCACTGTGGTTCCACTGGCTCAAGTCAAGCAACACATGCTTCACTCCCTCCTTCACCACCAGACCTTGTCTATGTCTCTCCTGTCCAACAGGGTTTATATAACTGACGTACCCAGGGCAATGATATCTGTCTGTATTTAGCTCCTGGAGCATGATGACATCAAAATCAAAAATCAGCCTCTCCAGTACAGGAGACGCTTATGTGAGACAGGAGTAAAGACCTCTCTATGTCACAGAGAAGATGCGCATGCGTTGTTGCTATAGTAGCCAGTTAAGGTAAACAAGATGGCGGGGACCATTTATAGACAGAAATATTACCCGAATCCTGATGAAAATTTTGTGATGCGCGGTAGTGCACCGTACTCTTACGGGTATTATTATTATTTACAAATTTCTTCTAAAATCTACAATAATCGTAGCGCTTTTAGTATCTGCAAGTTAATCTGTGGTTGTTTTTAGTTATTGGGAAATAATTGAATGGAACGAGCTTGTAAGGGTGTGAACTACAGTTGTAATAATCAATAATAATATTAATATAATTATATTGTTATAATTAATTAGTTTTTTCTGCCAGTTATCCCTCAGATAAGCATAACTCATGCCAAAGTAGCTGGATGTGGTTTTGCAATATCCTCTAAATGGTGGGAAACTGGAGTTGGCTCTCCTCCGAACTTCTACCCCCGCATTATCCGTACTGGGCTTGGTGCTATTAAAAATATGCGAACTTCCGGCGACGAACGAATCGCGGCAAAACTAGCATCGGCTCCGTATAGCGAAACAAATGCTGTAACAGGGTCTCAGCGATATGTTAATTTCGGACCTGTTTCTTTGACTATGCCTCACCGCCTACTGTATCCCAAGCACCGCTACGCGTGGCGCAGATGGGGTTAAACTAGATGGCTGGGACTCACGAACAGCAGCTACCTCATCTCCTGCAACTTCCTCCAATTAATTTGCTTATGAGTCCCCCCTCCCCCCCCCCCTCCGTGCCGTGCGTAGCGGCGCGGGGAATACTGTTGGCGGTAAGTGTAACCGCGTTTTGTGCATGCCGAAAAGTTTGAGGACAACAACAACGCTAATCTGCGTCGGGGCATGTAGTCTCCCCACCATGTGGCTTTTATCATCTGCAGAAACGCTAGAAAATGTCAACGGTCGCTATTATCGTCTGCTACTATCGTCTGCAGTGTTGCGTCTCTTAACATTGTCAAGTAATCAGAAACAATAAGAAACAGGTCTGCAGTTAACATATCGCTGAGACCCTGTTAGAGCATTTGTTTCGCTATACGGAGCTGATCCTAGTTTTGCTGCGATTCGTTCGTCGCTGGAAGTTCGCATATATTTAATAGCACTGAGCCCAGTACGGATATTTTTCGGTGCCACAATGCCGGGGTAGAAGTTCGGAGGAGAGCCCTAGAGTTTTATTGCATGTTTTAAAAAAATGAAATATGTGTGAATATCTTAAAACGTTCTGGTGCCCATACTGGTAGGCAATAATAATCCTGACTGTACTAAGGACTGAACTTAGCAGTCAAGTACACAAATCACTATCTCACACTGGCTCCTGCAATTAGCGTTAGTAATTGTTAACTTCGTATATGAAAAAATGTAACAATTCCTGAAGGTTTCAATTTTCTGTTAATTCAGAAACCTGCCAGAGTACTTGTCCAGCTCAGAGTTGATAAACATGTCAACAAATTTGACGCAGAAAAAGTACAACCCTAACACATATGGGGAAGATTCAAATTTGAATGGATCTCTGCGTCTAATCTCCCATCGTTTGAATCGTATACGAGAAGATTTAAGAAAATCTCTTTTGGATAATGAGAACCAGAAACTAGCTCACACCTACACCCAGGCTGACCGCAGTGAAAGACTAAGAGAAATCCTTAACAAGTATCCATCTTCAGTTGATTATTTGTCAAATGCAGAATGGTATCTTAAACCCATCCATTTAACATCATCTGTGTATATTCCTATGACAACTGATGACATGTTAGCAACTCGCTACTTTCCTGTGACTCTGGGAGAAGCAAAAATGCTGGAAATGGTAAGTGAGGTTAAGCCTGGAAGAGAAAGATCCAGATCCAGATCCAGAACAACAGGTATTAGACAAAGATCATTAAGCTCAACATCTTCAAGAGAGAACTCAGGAGATCATTTGAAAAGGTTACATAACGCCTACTACTTAACGGACATTGCACCGCATATAAGTAAGTACATTAATGCTTTATTTTGTCTTGTATACTAGCTGGTAGAATGGAAATAGAGGTGGTCACTGCAGCTCTAAGATGACTATTGGATATCAGCATCATCATCATGTACCATGCCAGTAAGCCTAGGCAGTTATAAAGTGTCATGACCACAACTATCACGAATCAGGTCTGATATAGTCCATTCTATAGAGAAAAAAAAATGTGTTGTGGATCCTTTACAAGACGTTGTAGAACCAACTCCAGCATGTTTTGGCTGTAGTAGTTTTTCTAGGCAAATTTCACATTCAGTAGTTTGTCATTGTTTTTAATAAAAGCAGTCATCATAACTGACTCTTTCAGTAATTGAGATGGTTCTGTCCACATATTTCTGACATAAGTGGCTGACACATAAAAAGTCATTACACTGACTGAAGCTGCAGTGGTTATACTGTCCAGACCATGTACAGATTTGGAAATGACAGAGTCGGACAGTTGGTAGATTAGTGAACAGTTATTTAGAAGCTGCAGAAATGTGGTTGTATAGATGAATGATGAGAATGCCCTGGACAGATATAAAGGGAAATGAAGATATATTGAAAACAACTGAGGCACAAAGCAAACTGATTGCCTACATCAGAAGGAGGTAATCTGTATTCTTTAGTCATGGGATGAGAAGGAGAAAACTAGAGTACATCGTGACAGTTGGAAAGTTAGGGGAGAAGAGAGGCATAGGGAGACACAGAGAGAGAGAGAGAGAGAGAGATTGCTGGACAGTTTGACATCATGGTAGGGAGGATAATTTGTGTCAGAGTTGATTGAAAGTACACGAGACAGATGGCTGTGGACAGACTTGACTACCAGTGGCACATGGCATGGACTTTAAGAAGAAGAAGGGGCAGTTATATTTTATTCAGTGTATACTACTAGGTCAGGGAACTGTTATAGCAATAGCTAGCATCCTTGTCTGCAGTTCATATGTTTGAATGACCATAAAGACAGGATTTATTTTTAAAATGTACCCAACCTGAAATGGTTACTATGAAATATTATAAAATTAAAGGCATGCTTTTTTGCCACATTATTTACAAAGTGACAATTGGTCGTCTATAAAAAATAGATTCAGTAAAGTTTACTCAGTGGTGTAGTTGAATATTCAAGCTATTGAACAGCAGCAGAAGTCAGAAAAAGAATTGATTTAGCAGTGCAGAGACTAAACTGCACAAAGAACCAGTCGTGCAACGCCTGCGATCAAGTTAAAGTAAAAATTCTGAGATCATGCATCTTTCCCACGGCTACTGATGGATGTGAGTCAAGGTCTCTTACTCAGTCATTGAAGAAACAAATCAAAGCTTTTGAACAGAAAAATGCTTAGAGTACCATGGAGCAAGAAGAATAACAATACTGACATCCTACATGATCTAAGCACTAGGGAGAATTGGCTCATAAACAGCATCCTGTCCCAAAGGCTGAGGTATTTTGGCTATTTTAAATGTCATGGTGGCCTGGAAATAACGGTGATGGAGGGTATAGTTTCCTGAAAATGAGGCATTTGCAGAGGCAGACCTCCATAAATGTGGATACAAGACATTAAAGATGCTCTGGCTTTGAAAGCACATAAGGCTGGAGATTTGACTAGAGAAATAGATTTACAGGCGTGCCGCAGTGAGAGCGACGTTCTGTAAAGGACCTGTTTACTGTTGATGATCCATGGAGCGAAGCTAACTCAGTGGTGATCATTATAGTTTTCTGGTCCTGAAGTAATGTTTTAAAATCTCCCTCAAGATCTCCACTGAGCTTCCATCGTGACCCAAGTTACAGTGGGTACCAAGATGGGCTCTAGCAAGTAAAGGCAGTACTATTTTTTTCTTACTACATTTTCTTTTTTTACTACATAGTTCAAGGATCTCCATGGTGAAGTGGTCAAGTCATTTGCCTCATGCTCTGAAGGTCCTGAGTTCATTTAAAAAATGCATCGTTCAGTTAGCAAGTGCAGTTTTTACAAAGATCGTCACTGGAGCTAAAGATTGTGTGCTTTTTACGCCACTGACAGCCATTCTGTGGAGAGAGACTGAGTGATATAACACTGTGCAATGAATTCAGTCCTTTTGACTTCAACCACCACTACATAAATGTTACCTGGACCCTCATGGGAAGCAAAATATAGTACCACTGCAGCCTGCCAAGCATATGGTAAGAGTCAACTAAGGGCATGGTTGGGCTTGGAGGCTGGAGCTGGAAAGGATAAGGGGCCCAAAACCTAAGTGGTAAGTACTTATGAAAAGAGTTGTAAATAAATAAGTTGAAATTATCTATGATATGTTTATTTGCATGTATGATTTTCTGAGGCATATGTGTGCATACAAATAATTCCACAAAAAGGTGAGCTTTAACTTTGCCTAAAACCAAGTTACAGGGCATTTTCGTGAACCCACAAAGTTATAAAATAAGTACATACAGGTTTTCAGGCTCAGGGAATGCATTCCATTTAATGCCTTGCTCAAATCTTCTAATTAATTACTCCTTTTATATATCTTTATATATTTTGAAAAATATGATAAATATGTTTTAAATTATGTTTGGTTACCTATATAATTTAGTTGTTTTTATTTTAAAGGACTTTTTAGGAAATTTCTGTGGATTTATGACCCGTATTTTTAGCATTTGCTGGGCTAAAGGGTTAAAAAGTTTAGGCCCACAAAAGTCAATCAGATGTGAACAAATTTAAGATCTTTGTGTGAGCTGGTTAAGAACTAGAATGCTTTTCAGGATAAAGAGAAAAAGAAGACAAAAAAGCAGGAGTTATATCCAGAACAGCTTTCTTATATCAGACAATATGTGCTGTTGAAGATTTATTTTATGAATCGAAGTATCTTGTGGGTCTAAAGCAAGCATTCTTCATCATTATCATCATCTGCGTTGCCAAGTGGTGTGATATCAGTGTTTCTGTATAGATATTGACCCTTAGTATTCTGGGTTAATTTTACTGATTACATTACTCCCTGCTGGCCCTTATCTTTGGTGGGCAGCTGGTCTAGGAGGGAAGCTCCAGTTGGTGAACAGACTGAGCTCTACTTTTGTGAACCAGCAACTTCTGCTGAATGTGCTTGTTCCAAACATATTAGGGTTTTCATTCTTTGGAGTTAATGTTAGTGTAAGTAAAGTAAAGTATAGATCCCTTTTCATGCCTTTCGGCATGACCAGGCCTTGATAGCAGATACAGCCATGCATGGAAAGAGAAGAAGGTAGTAGAGCAAGAGGTAGACCAAGAACAAGATGGAAGGATAACATCAGAGAAGCTCTACAACAGCACAATGTGCCTATGGTCGAGGCAGCCAGAAGAGCCAGAAACAGAACCTGATATCTCCCTCGACACCCACAGCGGTAAAAGAGGAAGTGAAGAAGAAGGAGTTAATAAAGCAGACCAAGAAAGGATTCATGCTCCATAGGCATCTAATTAGTCACTGTCATTTATTTCAAAATATAGATCCACACATCTAGCAGCTATACAGATAAGATGTGTCTTCTTCTTCTTTTTCTTCTCCTCCTCCCCCTCCTCCTTCCTACTCTTTCCTCTTCTTCTTTCTCCTCCTCCTCCTTCCTACTCTTTCCTCTTCTTCTTTTTTTCTCCTACTCCTCCTCCTTTTCTTTTCCTCCTCCTCCTTCTTTTTTTCTTCTTCTTCTTCTCCTTCTTTTTTTTGCACCCTTAAAAGGACGGTTGACATGTTGTATTGTGGTTTACGGCTCGGCTGTGATATCTGCATCTTTCATTCCAACACTTCTGATTTCAGCAAATCCCAAATTAATGGCTTTTTATGACATACTTGTTAGGGGATAATGAATCTATTTTCCCACCTTCTTTCCCCCCAAATGGTGCCCTGGAACCCGTAATGGGGAAGGTATGGAGTTTTGCATCTTAGACTACCATTTCATTAAGCAAATAATACAAAGTCTGTATTTATTTTAATAGGTATGAACTCAGAACTCCTGAATTTCACTACGAAGCAAGTAAGAATAACGAACTGTTGCGTAATTCTGACAAGTGGGATGAGCTGCTCCGATACAGAGAAAATCTGGTCAATGCTTCAAGACGCTTGCACACAGCACTACAGGGCTCTGAGGTGTCTGTGTACTGATTTGGTTTACCATGACAGCCAAAACTTCTGTAACATTCCTTAAAGGGGAAAAAAACAGAAATTTATTAAAAATGCAAGACGTACCATATTATCATATTAGTTTTAATTAATTTTAAGCTTTTACAATTTATAATATGTAACTTTAATTAATTTTTTGGGTTAGTTGTCAAATGTTTGAAACATTTGCCTATCAGTGCATATTTTGGCTGGGATTTTTCTGGAAAGTTGTTGTAGTAAACCATGCACGACGCACGAACAGTCACTCGCATGCACATGAATGTGTGTGTGTGTGAGTGAGGGCAAGGGAGGGGTGTGAGGTTGGTGATGTTTTCATTAGGTACACAGCTTAAAAGTTTAATTTCTTAATTTAAACACATTTTATTTTTATTCATTTAATACAAGTATAGTGTATCTCTTATTTTAAAAGTATATAAAGATCATTTTTTTCGCCACTAATATCATACAAGAGCCTATGTGCTATCAACCTTCAGGTATTGAATTTGCCTGAGAAAACATAACTTTTATGTTAGTGTAGATTTAATTTTCCAATTAATTTGAATTCATTAAAACTATGTAACACTAATTACAATTTAAAGATCATTTACAAGACCATTTGAACAGTTTTAGTTTAACATACAGAAGATATAACATGAAAGTAAAAATGACTAAAACTGAAGTAATGCAGATCAGTAGAATTCCTAGTCCACTACATATCATGTTGAATGGTACTTTTTTGAAGCAAGTTAAAGAGTTAGGTATCTAGGAAGTATATTCTCCGAGGACGGGAGAATAGATCGGGAAATAGAAATGAGATGCCAACAGGGCAGTGCATTTATTTACCAACTGACACCATTATTAAGGCATCCAAACATAAGTATAAGTGCCAAAAAACAGATTATTTAATCAGCATATTCATACCAACACTGCTACCAGTGCAAAACTTTGACATTTTCAAAAGAAATCTAAGTAAAATTAACACTTGTGAAATGAGATGTCTCAGGAAAATTCCCCAACTTAACCATCTGAGACAAAGTGAGAAATAATACTGTGAAGCACAGCTCTCTACTTTGTGGCGTACATTGATGTCACACCCAGGTTCGTCTTTAGGTTTTGCTACAGGAGGAGTCGATTGGAAAGTTATAGACGAGGAGAAAGATGATCGTGTCGATAGTGGTTATGATGATGATGTCTTGCTAGCTGCATGCTTCTCACGTGACTCTGGTGCTTGTATAATAAAATGCCTGGAAACAACAGTTCTTGTCTATACTGTCTTTATTGTGATACTTTAACAATGTCACAAACAATATCAATGATATTCTGAATAGCGCTGTGTTCTCTCTATGGCTAAATACTCATAGGTTTGCGTTGTGTTCTTCATCTCTAATTACTCTGTTAACTGGTTCTAGTATCTGTAACTGCCACCTGGCTTCTAGTGCTGTTTGGTACTAACGGCTTGATCGTCGATTCTAACATCTCTATAGTGTTTCTAATATGTCTGTTAGCCATGAATCCATGTATCTTGTTTGTCGTCTCTGTAGCTCGATGTCTCATTTCATGTCTGCTCTCCAGTGACTGTCTTCAAGGTTCTATATGAACGGCTGCTCTGTATTCCAGTGTTGAGCTGGCATCAAGGATCATTGAGACTAGTCGCTCTTCCTCTGAGTCTCAACGACTGAAGACTTCTAGTGTTGGGCTTACATCTCTACCACTGAAGGCTGCATTGAGAGTCCATGACTGGTCTCTCCTCTCTTGAGTCTTGTGGACTGAAGAATTGCTAAAGTGCTTTGTTACTCGCTATTTATACTTGGATACTGGAATGCCAGGTATTTGTTTTCTTCTCGCTCTTTGTGCTTCTAGAATATTCTAGAACGTCTGAACTTGTTTACTATGTACGTTCTCACATCGGATTTGCTAATTATATCTCGATTGCATCAGATTTCATCATCCAATTCTACTCAGATATAGTAGTTAAACTGACAATTGAGGTCATAGAAGTTTCTAAAAAACAAGTAGAATTGCGTTTGCTTTGATAGGGCATGACAACAAGGTATTTACTAGTACGACAAGGCTGGGTCACATGATGAAAAGAATGCATTTCAAAACTTCTAGAAAGAAGGCCAAGGCCAGACAATGACGTCAACAGCTAGTTTTGGCGGGAAAAGAAAATTCTGGAAAAGGGAATGTCAAGGTTACCAAAGCTTGTTGATCTCCTAATATTCTAGCTTTGTGCCTCCTAACAAACAAGCTATGAGCTCACTCTGTTACAACTGTCAGACTGTGGGAACAACAACATGCACCATATTTATTGAGAAATGGAAGATCAAATGGTTACACATGAAGATCTGATGTGAAAGCAAAGAGTCATCCTAGAAGAACATGGACTGATGATGTTAAAGATCTTCTGCATTGACAGGAAATGACAATATTCATTACTACCAATCAAACAGTGGCTTGCAAACTGTTCCTCCCCATGACTCTTAATAGCAAAAGTAGAAATTGATGATGATGACAGTTTGAAAGAAGGTCTTCAGTTGAAAGAATCGACCTCATTACCCAAGTAGCACTGCCGACTATTACAGATAGGCTCAAGCCAAAAAATCATATCTCAGAGTAGCCGCAAGAGGTACCCCGTACAAGAGGTACCCCGTACAAGAGATACCCTGTACAAGAAATACCCTGTACAAGAGATACCCTGATAATATTTATGTTATATATATACCTGTACTGCCCACTATTACAGATAGGCTAAAGGTGCAAGCAAGGTCATATCTCAGAGTTGAGACAAGAAGCACCTCCTGCATGAAGCCTTAGACAGAGCTAAGCATTACAGATTGAAAAGAGGAAGTTCTTGCATGGCGCAAGTTAGACATGTGTACAGGCTTGATAACATTTTGCGGGGATAACATTGGGGGCCATAGTGTCCAAGCAATAATCACACTTGTGTAAATTGGACCAGGAGTGCAGGGACTGACCAGCAGACACTGCAGATTTAGAAGTTGAACATTGGATTCATGATAATTCCGGCCCAGGTGATGTGATTAGCTATACAAATGGCTCTATTTTGAGACCCAAAAAGAGTGCATGGGAGTTCATAGCAAAAGCAAATGGACGTTGCATTGTGTAATAAAGCCTAGCATATGATAATGCCAGAATTTGAGAATGGAAGGGGAGGTAGTCACTGCAGCTTTCTGCTGGCTTGAAAACCAGCTGCACACAGATGTCATAAATGTAACTGACTCACAAAGCATGTTTAGAGATGGATATGCACTATGCAGAATAGCAAGCCTCGCTTTAGAGGTCCCAGATTAGCATTCTTTGGATATATTTTCCACGGCATCTCGGCGTATTAAAAAATGAACAGGCAGATAGACTAGCTGATTCTTCACCACCTGTTGGTAAATAGATGCATAAGCTAGATTCTGTAAGGGCCCTTTGGGAGCTAGATGCATAAGCTAGATTCTGTAAGGGCCCTTTGGGAGCAAGTGAACTGTCTGGGGTCACAAAGAGGTTATCACGGTCTTGACAGAAGGCTGTAATAACGAGTGACCGGGGGAACTGGCCGATGCACAACGCTCAGGAGAAAGATATGAGTATACAGTCAGACTTCTACTGGGACCTTCACAATTGGAATTCTGCATTTGCTGCAGAGGGTGCTTATGGGAATGTTCCATGTAATATGATGGCAGTTCTTAACTCATTGTCCTCTTGATTTAGGAATCAATTTTTACAGTACTGATAACAGATTCTTATTATTCTTTGCCATGTAAGTATGACAGTAGTAAAATAATTTGTAACTTTATTGATTGGTCTTGTGTTATTTTGTTTAAATGGTTATGTGGTTCAAATGTCCACTAACATAGGCTGAACCCATTGGAGCGTCATGACCAAATCTGGAATCAACGCATGAAGTATGCTTTCCTTACACAGCCACACTAAGTACCCCTAGGCATCAATGGAAAATGTGCCATAGTCTTTTGTCCTTGTGAGCAGTCTAGTGTGATGAGTGTAATGATTCCTTGGGTGATCCCATTACCAGTGCACCATGTATAGGCTTTGTGTTTATTAGGCATTCTTGAATGCTAGGGAATGTCTGTCCTCCGTCCCTGACTTCTCTTGAGGACTAACCAGTCACAGTTGCTCTGAATGTGTAGATCCAGGAAAAAAGATGTTATACAAACAAAAGGAGGCTGTCAGTGTCCACAATGTCACACGAAACTAACCAGGAAGGCTAAATTAGAAAGCAAATGCTAAATGAATCCGGATGTATATTGCAGTTATGAGGTAAACGACCACAGCAGAATTACCTTACATTGGACGAACAATGGAAAAAAAAAATATATGCCAGGCTTTGTTGCATGGTCACTTTTGCTATGAGCAACCCTGTCCTTCTTCTGCCTCTCAACACAGTTATCCCTGTAGTTAATGACTTCACTTGAGTGGGAATAATACGTTGTTTAATTTCTGATTTTGCAGTGTTCCCTAGGCAGTCCCCTGCACTCTCGGCCGAATGCAACTACAACCTACACGGGTCTGATTGTTGCTTAGGCACTTTGACCAACCTCTTTCCTTGCCAAATTGTTTCAAGCTGGCACTGATGTCTGACTGCCTTCTGCTTGTGCCATTACAGACTTTAATCCTTAACCAAACACACATTTAATGTTACAAATATGGTTAAATGAAAGTGATGATAGATTGGCCGGTTCTGCCTTAGTTACAGATGGCCGGCTTCGGGATCACACCCTAACTGCTAAGGCCCTTAGAGAGATAGGACGATTGGATGATTTTGGGAGCAGTGTGTCCATATCACTGCTAGGAATACGAGAACTGGCAGTAAAGGCTACACAGCCAGGCATGAGAGGCACACAACACATACAAGAAGTCTTGTTGAACAGCATAGCACTATAAACGGCAGGATACTGATGTATATGTTGAAGGGGGAATCTGAGCAACTATGGGTGTGTCCTGAGTGCTGTGAAGATAAGCCAGTTCTAACTTACGTATGGTGATAGAGCTACCAGTGTAGCCTAGCCAGAGCACTGACCAAATACTGTAGCCGCAGTGTCTCCCCCCCCCCCACTCCACACTGTCTCAATGTTAAGTTGAAAAGAGTTGAGAAACAGCATCACTCTCAAAGCATTTCCATAAACTCCTCTTCCTTATCATCAGCAGCTAACGCAGAGTTCTGATACCAATTATGACAAATGTAGTCCAGTGTGTCCATTTTGCCTTTCTCCTCAGTGTTGATTGATGTTCATATCCTGTGGTCACTCCCTATTGTATCATCCTCTCCAGGCATTTTTCACATACTCCTAAATAAACTGCTATCACAGAATGCTAGCTAAATGTATATTATAAACTTATCAGTACTACCAGGGAGAACAACATTTCTTTGTTAGTTTCAATATACAGATTTCTGTAGAGCAGCACATGTAATCACAGGCAAAATCAAGAATAAAATAATCTTACAACTTTTCAGTTTTCTGCAGATAAAAAAAAAATTCCAATACCTTTAGTATGCAAATGCATGAATTTAGTTTACCTAGTTGCAAACAATTGTATGGGGCGAAGAAATGGAGAACAACTAAGGCAATTACTAATAAACTACAAACAATAATTAACTGGTGCCTGCGCAGAATAGAAGGAATTAAATGGTATGATAGAATAACTAATGTAGAGCTTTGGGAGAGAACTAAACAGGCTCCAGCTGACCAAGAGGTGAGGAAAAGACTTTTATTACACACTTAGGAATAATTCGTTTCTTTGATACCACCATTACTTCTGTCTTCCCATTATTCAAACTGAGGCCCATTATTCCACTTTCTAACACCACAATGTCTATCATTTCCTGTAATTCTTTCTGACTTGTTGCTATCAAGACTGTGTCGTCAGCATAACGTAAATTGTTTATATTATGCCCATCAACCACAATTCCGGGCAAACCAATTAAAGATCTCATTATATATTCACTGTATATTGAAAACAAATCAGGTGACAGTACACATCCTTGTTGTACACCCCTCTTTATGCTTTACTAGAGCAGTATACTGACCTTTTCTTGGAAGAACATCTCAAAGTTTATGAAATGTCAGGAAAAGGGGGATACATCATATTTATCTGCCAATGTTTGTGAGGAACTTATTAAAATAATGGAACAACATGTTCTTTGTACTATCCTTGAAGAAATAAAAGTAAAAAGCAAAGACAAGGACCCTATATATATATATATATATATATATATATATATATATATGTGTGTGTGTGTGTGTATATATATTTATATATATATATATATATATATATATATATATATATATATATATATATATATATATAGAGAGAGAGAGAGAGAGAGAGAGAGAGAGAGAGAGAGAATGTATTTCTCCTAACACAACCTACAAACACTTGGAGTCACCAGCTAGAGTCAGAGGAGGCCAGCCACAGGGATAAAAAGAAGCTGGTGATATCTGCAGCAATAAACTTCAAATGCTCTGAATGCTGACGTAGGAGGAGGAGTAAGTAGGATGAATAGCAAGAAGGAGAAGAAAGCAGAACGAAGAGGAGGAGAGCAGCAGCAGCGGCAGAAGAAGGAGAAGAAGAAGAAGAATTTCGAATGAAGAAAGAACAGAAAGAATAATGTCATCTAGTTAGTTTAGTTTGCCGACTGATTAGTTAATTAATTAGCTAGTTAGTTGATAAGTTAGTCTTCAGATCATATTCATTGCACGTAGAACCATTTAAGAGAAAAGAATAGTACAAAAAGGCACGTTGCGTGCACGTCACTGGCAAACTGTTGTGTTGTTTGGCGCGATCAATCAGTTCATCAGACGACATGGGTTTCTCTAGTCAGGTATGGTTTAACCGTGTTGTTGTTGTTTTTTTTTTTTTCAATTAACTAAACATACAGAAATGTGCTTTAGCGGGTTTATTTTAGAGAATTACGTTTAACAGTATGAAGATGTTCTTTGTATATTATATTTATCCACGAAATCGTAACGATGATTTAACAAATGAAACCAAACGCCAACGTAACGGTCTGTTCGCTAACTCAACTTTACTTTATCTACTTAGTGCGCTGAAAATTACTCAAATAATATTTGTCACTATAAGTGAGACATCTCTACTCCGCATGTTGGATTCCATGGCTTAACTTTGACTGCTCCTTACTTAACAAGCATGTCGTAAAGGGTCAGTAGTCGAATATTTTTTTTTTAATCGGATGTTTTAGCCTAAAGTCGCAGATATCGCAACCTTGTAAATGTAAACTATTGCAGAGCAGTGTGCCTGCCGACTTTTTAAAGGCCGAGTGAATAAGAAGCGAAATTAGAAAATGAAAAAGAAAAAGAAGACTATAGTGCAGCCAACCGTGAGCTTTATGCGTAGAGTATATTTAATAGACCCACTGCTGGCTGTGTGCATTTTAATCATGGTATGGGGCGTTACAGGTCTACCCAGCCTAAAATGGGTACCAGGATGGATGTCCTGTGGAAGTAAAGACGACCGGCGTAATGCTGACCACATTACCCACCTAGTGCCGATTTGTCTGTAGAGATATGGGGTGCTCTTCCCATATGCCCGATGCGCTAAAGGCGTGAAAAGTGATCTTTACATTTTCTTTACTTATATTTAATAAATTTCTGAATACTTCAGGCGATATACCAGTACTTTTCTTCGTAGTACTACTCGTGAATACGCTGTTTATGTGTTGCCAGAGAGAAAATAGGGTATATTTTCAATAACAATATACATCTAGGATTATTGATCAGGCGGTCGATGATATAGAGATAAGTTACTTTGTAGTTATATGTTAACAATGTATGGTGACGCCACATCATTGAACGCGTGGCTACCCCCCACCCCCCCCCCCAACCGACACTGAGTCGATCAATCAGTCGTCAGCAGCAGATGGTAAAATATAACCGGTATATCTCTTTATATAAGATTACTTCTATATTGATAGCACACTGATTGATTTCACGAATGCAGTTCATCTCTAATCCTTTTCTACTTGATTTCAATTTTCAGATTAGTTAGTAACATGCAGATGAAAACATCACATTTGTTGTTTGCCTTTTCCTCTTTATAGTTTGTATCTGAATGTATGACTTATTGAATCACTGCCTACAGTGTGTGAGATTTGTATCTAGATCTATCTAGGGCTTTTAAAAATCCCAGTTGCTTACTTCTTTATAACTTTTCACAATTTATGTACCCTTGACACTAAAAGGACACAACCCAACCATTAACCAAGCCCCTCCCCCCCCCCCAATCCCCCACAAACCTCCTTTTTTCCAAGACCCCAAATACATTTTCACTTTTAAAACCTTTGCCATTGATTAGACCTGACCATTGGAGAAAACTGACCCATAAACAGTTTCTTGTTTTGGAACAATGAAACTTTGAGTTTATAGTCATTGTTGCACTTATTTATCAGTATAGTTCAGTGTTTCCTAAACTTTTCTTGGTCTCAGCGCCTTTTTTTCTTCTAAAATTGTTCCTCGGCGCCCTAACCTCAGTAAAAGTATGACTATCAGTGTATTGGTTAAATTAATTATGAAGCTTTTACAATATTTTGCGGCACCCTTTTAAGAGGTCGCGGCTCCCCGGGGCGCCGCGGCTTACAGTTTAGGAATCACTGGTATAGTGGGTCGGATTCAGTTCTCAGCAGTAATATGAACCCCCTCTTCTTCTTCTTCTTTCTTCTTCTTCTTTCTTCTTCTTCTTCTTCTTCTTCTTCTTCTTCTTCTTCTTCTTCTTCTTCTTCTTCTTCTTCTTCTTCTTCTTCTTCTTCTTCTTCTTCTTCTTCTTCTTCTTCTTCTTCTTCTTCTTCTTTCTTCTTCTTCTTCTTCTTCTTCTTCTTCTTCTTCTTCTTCTTCTTCTTCTTCTTCTTCTTCTTCTTCTTCTTCTTCTTCTTCTTCTTCTTCTTCTCTTCTTCTTCTTTTTTTTCTTCTTCTTCTTCTTCTTCTTCTTCTTCTTCTTCTTCTTCTTCTTCTTCTTCTTCTTCTTCTTCTTCTTCTTCTTATTTCTTCTTCTTCTTTCTTCTTCTTCTTCTTCTTCTTCTTCTTCTTCTTCTTCTTCTTCTTCTTCTTCTTCTTCTTCTTCTTCTTCTTCTTCTTCTTCTTCTTCTTCTTCTTCTTCTTCTTCTTCTTCTTCTTCTTCTCTTGTCTTGTTTTGCCTTTCAGCGTCAGGTTTGGAAGAGGCATCGAGTGCCAGCCTTGGTAGGCTATGTGCTACGTAGATGCTGGTATTTACGGCCTTGGATATGCCATCTATCTGTTGTCTCTTGACGTGATTTAGTACCGTTCCGTCCCACTTTCTTTCCTGATATTGTCATTTCTTTGCATTTTACTGACTGTATACACCATTAGAAAGTAAGTAAAGGACCCCCTTTCCACGCCTTTCATGCGTATTGGATCTATAGGGCTAGACCTGTATTTTATAGACCAACGGCACAAGATGGGTGATGTGGTTAGCATCACACTGGCTGCCTTTACTTCACAGGACTGCACCTGGTACCCACTCAAAGCTAGGTCGACCTGGGAGCCAAGGTCATTTTTGAAAAAGTCCGGCTCCACCAGGGAGCGGACCCACGACCTTCCGATCCGCAGGCGAGCGTATATCCGCTTCGTCACGGCGACTCCCCCTGTACCCAAAATATAGGCTATGTGCCTTTTAAATATACTTATAATGGGCATATACTGTATTGTCTTTTAATTTTTAGTAAAAGAAATACAGAAGAATGTCTTTGCAAAATCACACAAATTATATAATCATAAGAGTTGGTTGTACAGAAAATTGCAATTTAAATCTGTTAAAAGAAAATTTCATGTTTGAAAAAAACAATTGTTGAGGCCCTGCAGATTGTGAGGCCTTAAACTGTATCTTATTTAGCCTATGTCTAAATACAGCACTGCCTATCATTCATGTCCTGTTTGCACATATCTTAAAATCGTAAAAGACATTTCCAACGTCTTCTACCCATTTCCTAGAGGCTGAGTAAACCCCGGGAACCGCCCGCTTCGAACCCTGGCCTTGGGTTGCAGCGAGTCGCAACTGGATTTGAAAGCGAGTCTCCTATCGACTGCGCTAACGCGGCGCAAACACTGCTGTTAACACCCCCCCCCTCCCCCCCCCTTTTTTTCCAAACCACTTCACTCAGGTAATTGTTACAGACGCCAAAAACTGAAGGAAGGGTAGAGAGACAAGATCTATTTGCTGTATATTTATTTGCACACACCTTTTTCATTTTTGTGTAGCCAATCGTCATTGATGGAAGAGGCCATCTTCTGGGCCGATTGGCGTCGGTTGTTGCTAAAACATTGTTGAATGGTAAGTTAACATCAATCGTTCCTTGTTGTGTGTTAAACTGTTGAACAGAAAGCGTTTACCATTTGATAGCTTGCTTGACAGTGTTTACCAACTGGTGGTCCTTTTTAACCTTTAACTTTGAAGTCCGAGGATCCCCCGGGGGTCCAAGGAACATAATTAAAGAGTCCGAGTTATTATTTACAAAAATAAATTATGTTTTCAGTTGAAAGGTGTGGGTCCGGGCAGATCTTCGAAAAATTGGAGACTCCATGTCTTAGCTAGTTTCGAGCCACTACCTATGTATGTTCCAGAGCGCATTTTGGATTAAAAAAAGAGTAGATCCACCCCCTATCAAGCATGTCGTAAAAGGTGACTAATTAGGTGTGTTTCATCAGGTGTCAGGGTTCATCTGCCTGAGAGGCGAGGAACCAACAGTCTGCATATAAATAAGCCAAATCGGTAAGACGGATATGCATACAGTACTCACATTGTGGAACAGGATCTCCCTAAGTGGATTCCAGGGGCGTCATTTGGGGGAGGGAGGGGGTTATACTCACTTCTTTCTAACAAGCATGTCTTAAAAGTCGACTAATTAGGGCTTTTTCTCCAAAGTCGGACTGTATCTGCCTGAGAGGCAAGGGAACCAGCGGTTTGTATACAAATAAGTCAGATCCTTAAAACGGATGTGTACTCAAAACTCGTGTTCTTGGATAAGACTAAAATCCAGAAGTGAATGAACAACTCGAACTTCCACCGGAGTTTACAGTCGGTGAACGAAGAAGAAGAAGCAACAAGACCAAAGTCCAGGAGTGGACGAACAGCCAGAATTTCCCGCCTGGGTTTAAAGTCCATGAACGCCAAAAAAAAGAAGAGTGGGGGAGGGGGAGGGTCTATCGTAGTGCATTAAACGTGCTAATCACTGATATTAATTGTGTTGCTGTTAAAATGTTTGCGCGTTGTCTACTCCTGTCAGCACAGCGCCTTACAGTCGTGCAGCATTGCTGCAGCTGTTCCTAGGGCTGGGTAGTTTGGCATGCAGGTGTCTGGGAGTTGTGTAATTCTAGTGGAGATGTGACTGATGATTCAGTCACACAGGATAAGGGACGCAATTTGAACTGTTAGTTTTTAGGAAATCTCTCTCTCTCTCTCTCTCTCTCTCTCTCTCTCTCTCTCTCTCTCTCTCTCTCTCTCTCTCTCTCTCTCTCTCTCTCTCTCTCTTCTCTCCTCCCTCTTGTTGTACCCAACCAGGACATCACACATGCGACAAACACCTGGTAACACAAAGTGCCATTGTGCAGATGATGATCACCCATGGAGAGGTCACAGAAACCTATATTTTATAGACCGGTATTCGATATAGGTCTATATCACGCAGGGCCGTCTTTACTGCCCATGACTTTACCTGGTACCCGTTTGAAACTGCGTCCACCTGGGAGTCGACGTCATTTTTTTGAAAGAAAAAAAGGGGGAAAAGGACAGGACCGGAAAAGCGCGACTTTCAGATCCGCAGTGGAACGTCTAGCCGCTACATTTTATAGGTGTGCAAGCAAGCATGTGCTCGTGCGGGCATACGCACGTACATGTGTGTGTGTATGTTTATAATTATAGTGTATGACTGTATAAATCACATTAGGCTAAATTTACTGTGTCCTCCCGTTCTATCCTGGGCTGCTGTTTCAAAATTATGAATGGATCCAGCCCAGCAAATTTGGCCTCTCTTATCAGCGGGGGGGGGGGGGGGGGGAAGGGGGTGGGCGTACAGGCGTATGCACATTCAGAGATTACACAAAAACTGCTTTTGCTGAACTATGGGATGTTTTTTTTTAATGTATTTGTTCCCCCTAGTTAAATGTAATTGACTGGTTGAGAAAGTTATATATATATATATATATATATATATATTATATATATATATATATATATATATATATATTTGTTTTTTCTTTAGGCCAACGGGTTGTTGTGGTAAGGTGTGAAGGAATCAATATCTCTGGAAATTTCTACAGAAATAAATGTAAGCCTTTTAACAAATTCTTTCTAGTCAGTTATTTTACATACCCCCCCCCCCTTTTTCCCCCTCTCACACACACACGCTTTAGTTATTACAGTGTCAAACAGATATTTAAAAAAAGTATTTTTCTGAAATTGTTACTTAAAGCTATCATTCAAAACAGTAATTTATTACTTCAGTTATTTGATTTGTATCTAGATTGGCAGCTGACACAGTACTGATTACCGTACCCTATTAAATGCTTCCTCTTATAGAAAGTACAGATCTATCATCTTCTTTCCTCTATCGTAGAATGCCTCGCTGCTCCAAGACATAACATCAAATCTCTAAAGTGGTTTCATGTTGTGTTAACAGGTAATAATTTTACAATTACTGTGTACTTTGTTGTCTTTAAAAAGGCTTCAGTCTGCATTGTGTTTAGTTTCTGTTTGTGTTTAGATTTAACTGTACTGGCAATTAAACAATTTTTGTTCTGTGTGTCTCGTGTCAGTTAATGATCTTTACACCCATTTTTTTTTTTAATCTAGTGAAGTTTCTGAAATATTTGAAGAATCGCTGTAATGTGAAGCCAGCCCGAGGTCCCTTCCATTTCCGTGCCCCCAGTAAAATGTTTTGGAGAGCCATTCGAGGTACATTGCTTCTTGATACATGCACACATCTTTAGTTCTGTAGTGATTGTCTAACTTACTGTTACACCACAGTTGTAATAACTACGATAAACTGAATTGTTTAAAAATCACCAAGTCCTCTCCTTGTGGGATGCAATTTTTCGTTACTTGAAGCCCCACCCTGGCTTTTGCCGGGGGCCGGAGAAACCGGATCGTCCAGAAAGCAACGGCAAACTACTGGACGTAAACTTGCCTAGAAAAACCACAACAGCCAAAAATGCTGGAGTTGGTTCTGCAACGTCCTGTAAAGGATACGCAACTAAATTTTAACTGTAATAGACACTTGTGGTTAGTACCAACACCGCTTTAGACACTTTGTGATGAGTAACCAAATTTTTTTTTAAAGAAAAGAAAGCTATGTTCATAATTTACATCCCCAAGACAATGGCCCAGGCTGTGGTAGAATTTTCTGGCCAGTACATCTCAGGAGGTATACGTGTGTGTTTGTGACTTTTTCAGAATTTTCTCGGAAGGAAAGTGGCAAGGAAAGCAAAAAGGCACTTCAGTTTATTATGATATGGCCTAGAAGATGGGAAAGCCCAATATTTTACACCACAGTCACAAAAGTCCCTGACTGGTCTGGGCTTTAGGTTACAGTGTAACCGTCGGGTGCCTCAGTATAACTGTTAAACACTAGAATGGGGTTGTATCTGTTTAATTCTCATCCTTCAGGTGTTAATCCTACAGACTCCTGGAGGGGAAAAAACTACCTACCTACCACACTACAGTGAAAGTAATCGATATTGCAATGGGACTATATTTCCCTTTTTGTCTGTTTCAGTTTACTAGAAATGTATAATCTGGTTATTATTATCATTTTAAAAAAATGAAGCAAATTGTATACAGTTCCAGGCAGGATTCATAAAGATGCAGACAGCATCTATTTTTTGCCGCATTCAGGAGTGACAGGTTTGGAGGGGGGAAGGACTAGGCCACTCAGCTGTGACTCAGTACCTAGTCCAAAAAAAAAAAACATCTACTTATTGTGCTTGCTTAATTAAAATACTAAAGTGGAGCTCTGTCTTTAGTGCTGTCGTTTGTTTTTCAAAGGAAAACTGTTCACCTCCCGTGATACAAGTTCCCAGGTAAAAAAAATGTAGATATTTAATTTTTTTAAAAAAACATGCAGCTGAATATATGCATATTAATGATAGGATTATGAAATTTATTAAAGATCCAGACAGCATATATTTTTTGCCGCATTCAGGAGTGACAGGTTTGGAGGAGGGAAGGACTAGGCCACTCAGTTGTGACTCAGTACCTAGTCCAAAAAAAAAAAACATCTACTTATTGTGCTTGTTTAATTAAAATACTAAAGTGGAGCTCTGTCTTTAGTGCTGTCGTTTGTTTTTCAAAGGAAAACTGTTCACCTCCCGTGATACAAGTTCCCAGGTAAAAAAATATAGATATTTAATTTTTTTCAAAAAAGAAAAAAACGTATGCAGCTGAATATATGCATATTAATGATAGGATTAGGAAATTTATGAATTCTTATGGCACTTAGAGTACATCTATAATGCTGCCATATTTCACACTTTTACAAATAACAAGTTATTGAACCAAATTCCTTGTATTAATTAAGTCCATTGAAAATTCAAACACCCCCACCCTCCCTTTTTTTTCCCCCCAACATTGGTTACCGTTGATCAAGAACTGAGTCTTCTGAATTGTGTAGGAATGTACTTATTTTATACATATTTTACAGATATTAATGGACATATCCATGGGCTATTTTATTGATAATTGTTTTCACATGCTTGTTAGTTGAAACATATCTGGAGTCTACAGCTTAGTCTTCTTCATTGTGCATGCAGGCATGCTGCCACACAAAACAGTTCGTGGCAAGGAAGCTTTGGAACGACTCAAGGTCTTTGAAGGCATCCCACCTCCATATGATAAGAAGAAACGCATGGTTGTGCCTTCAGCACTAAGAGTGCTGCGGCTGAATCCAACCAGAAAGGTGAGGTTTTGAACATGTCAGCAAGTAATTAAAACAACCTGTCTGTATAAAGAAGTGTAGTGTATTCAGTTCAGTATATTTCAAGTAAACTCTGAAGTCTGTAAAGTTATCCATCTACTGCTTTTACTCTAGGCCAGTAGGTTTGCCTTGGTGTGTCTTCTTATGTGTATGTGTGTGTTTTCTGTTTGTGTATGTATGTAGGTGCGTGTTTGTATGTATTAGCTATGTCTCTATATGAGTGTGCATGTATAAGAATGTAAGAGTATATATGTGTGTGTGTGTGAGTGTGTAAGATTGTGTACACATGATGTGTGTATGCATTATTCTATAATTTATATTTCCTTATTAAATCCATGACATGCATTGTTGATGATAACAGGCATTGGTACTCTGAAAACTTAGTGCATAGAAGGGCCGAATGTCAGACGGGCCTGCGTGCCCAATTTGTAACCCTTTGAAAATAAAGTTTGTTCGTTCGTTCGTTCGTCTTCTTCTTCTTCTTCGATCCTTCTGTCAGAAAAAAACGTATACATCAGGAGGCCGGTAGGCTTTATGAAAGCTATCGTGCAATCCATATCCTCTCGTGTACCATACAGCTTTATCTTCGTTGTGGTTGGAACAGGCCAGATTGCGACTCTGTTGTCAACATACAATTGACAGTGTTGTAGCACATGCTTAGCATTTTCGGGTGCCACGCTGCAGGGACACGTCTCCAAAAAAATGTGAACATATGTTGACGAAGTCTTTTGTGTCATATTGGTGACTGTATTTGAGCAAATAATCACCGGTCTCGGATGCCATTCAGATATTGAAATGGCTGATATGCTAACATTAACCTAAAGTCGATCATGTCCCATTCTCAAGCGTAGAATAGGGCTGTTCTTTCTAGTTGATCCATAGATTAGTGAGACTTTAGCTGCTGGAATGTCACTGAATTTAATAAAATGGTACAGCTGCTATATAAATTTGTTTCAGTAGTGTTATATTGTAATTTTTTTTTTTAAAGTTCTGTGAAAGTTTACATTGATTAAATAGTATCTCGTTTACCTACTTTATCGATATAAGGGAATATGAAATTCTAAAGTATGTTTTGACAAGCCATATTTATTTTAAAAATTTAATGTGATTTCTGGAATTCTGTGTACATATTCCTTAGCTAGAGGTTTATTGTGTGCAACCCTCAAGATCAAGATCAGCTTGTTGCTATAACTTGGAGATTTGATACTAAGATGTTTGCTAGTCTGGATTAAGGAATAACGTTACATAGTAAAACGACCATTTCCCACGTTCTGAAGCATATAGTGCCAGAACTATATTTTACAGACCAATATGCACTCGGTGGGTGATGTGTTCAACATCGTACTGGCTGCCTTTACTTCCCATGACTCCACCGTTTACCCATTTAAGGCTGGGTCGACCTGGGAGCTAAGGTCATTTTTTTTAAAGCCCGGTTCAGTTCGGATGCGAACCCAGGACCTTCAGATCCACAGGCAAACGTCTGGCCGCTACGCTACATCACTGTGGCTCTTACAAAGTTACATAGTGCAGAAGACAGTTCTGTCTAATATTCCCACTTGATTAGGTATAAGCAGGCTATTTAATTGCGTAACTTCAGAACGCTGCAGAGCCAACCCCAACATTTGTTGGCTGTTATGTAATTTTACTAGGTAATTATTCATGAATCATTTCACTACTGCCTCCGATGGTCGGCTCTCGGTGCCCTTGTCGAAATCAGCGTAAAGCAGCCTGCTTCCGAATCACTTGTAACGGGAATTGAACCTTGTATTGCAAAATTACAAACTGTCACAACACTTAAGCCACAGAATAAGCCATTGGTGGTCAATAATAATTATCTTGAATGTGGGATGTTGAAGTACTTCAAGAGGGGCATACACAAGTCCATCTAATGGAGAGGGGTTTGGCCACTGTGAGAAGCCTAATATTGAATGTGGGATGTTGAAGTACAGTCTTACAGGTCATCAAAGAACAACAGATGAAGTGGTTTGGACACCTAACAAGAATGCCCTGGTACTATCTGCCACAGCAAGCCACACTAAAATGTTACAGCGGGTATAGAGCGAGTGTAAGACCTCGGAAAATATGGAGTGATGACATTAAGAACAGCCTTACAGAAATGAACATCAGTCTTAATAGTGCTCTTGACAGAGCTCATCGACGTACATTACATCTCCCCCGACACTTCGATGAGGTACAAGGTGGAAGAGAAGAAGAAGAAGAAGATGTTGAAGTACTTCAAGTGGGGCATACACAAGTCCATCTAATGGAGAGGGGTTTGACCACTGTGAGAAGCCGTATACTGAATGTGGGATGTTGAAGTACTTCAAGAGGGGCATACACAAGTCCATCTAATGGAGAGGAGATTGACCACTGTGAGAAGCCTTATATTGAATGTGGGATGTTGAAGTACTTCAAGAGGGGCATACACAAGTCAATCTAATGGAGAGGGGTTTGGCCACTGAGAAGCCTTATATTGATGGGGGATGTTGAAGTACTTCAAGAGGGGCATACACAAGTCAATCTAATGGAGAGGGGTTTGGCCACTGAGAAGCCTTATATTGATGGGGGATGTTGAAGTACTTCAAGAGGGGCATACACAAGTCCATCTAATGGAGAGGGGTTTGGCCACTGAGAAGCCTTATATTGAATGTGGGATGTTGAAGTACTTCAAGTAGGGCATACACAAGTCCATCTAATGGAGAGGGGTTTGGCCACTGAGAAGCCTTATATTGAATGTGGGATGTTGAAGTACTTCAAGTAGGGCATACACAAGTCCATCTAATGGAGAGGGGTTTGGCCACTGAGAAGCCTTATATTGAATGTGGGATGTTGAAGTACTTCAAGTAGGGCATACACAAGTCCATCTAATGGAGAGGGGTTTGGCCACTGAGAAGCCTTATATTGAATGTGGGATGTTGAAGTACTTCAAGTAGGGCATACACAAGTCCATCTAATGGAGAGGGGTTTGGCCACTGAGAAGCCTTATATTGAATGTGGGATGTTGAAGTACTTCAAGTAGGGCATACACAAGTCCATCTAATGGAGAGGGGTTTGGCCACTGTGAGAAGCCTTATATTGAATGTGGGATGTTGAAGTACTTCAAGTAGGGCATACACAAGTCCATCTAATGGAGAGCAGATTGGCCACTGAGAAGCCTTATATTGAATGTGGGATGTTGAAGTACTTCAAGAGGGGCATACACAAGTCCATCTAATGGAGAGGGGTTTGGCCACTGAGAAGCCTTATATTGAATGTGGGATGTTGAAGTACTTCAAGAGGGGCATACACAAGTCCATCTAATGGAGAGGGGTTTGGCCACTGAGAAGCCTTATATTGAATGTGGGATGTTGAAGTACTTCAAGTAGGGCATACACAAGTCCATCTAATGGAGAGGGGTTTGGCCACTGAGAAGCCTTATATTGAATGTGGGATGTTGAAGTACTTCAAGTAGGGCATACACAAGTCCATCTAATGGAGAGGGGTTTGGCCACTGAGAAGCCTTATATTGAATGTGGGATGTTGAAGTACTTCAAGTAGGGCATACACAAGTCCATCTAATGGAGAGGGGTTTGGCCACTGAGAAGCCTTATATTGAATGTGGGATGTTGAAGTACTTCAAGTAGGGCATACACAAGTCCATCTAATGGAGAGGGGTTTGGCCACTGAGAAGCCTTATATTGAATGTGGGATGTTGAAGTACTTCAAGTAGGGCATACACAAGTCCATCTAATGGAGAGGGGTTTGGCCACTGAGAAGCCTTATATTGAATGTGGGATGTTGAAGTACTTCAAGTAGGGCATACACAAGTCCATCTAATGGAGAGGGGTTTGGCCACTGAGAAGCCTTATATTGAATGTGGGATGTTGAAGTACTTCAAGTAGGGCATACACAAGTCCATCTAATGGAGAGGGGTTTGGCCACTGAGAAGCCTTATATTGAATGTGGGATGTTGAAGTACTTCAAGTAGGGCATACACAAGTCCATCTAATGGAGAGGGGTTTGGCCACTGAGAAGCCTTATATTGAATGTGGGATGTTGAAGTACTTCAAGTAGGGCATTCACAAGTCCATCTAATGGAGAGGGGTTTGGCCACTGAGAAGCCTTATATTGAATGTGGGATGTTGAAGTACTTCAAGTGGGGCATACACAAGTCCATCTAATGGAGAGGGGTTTGGCCACTGAGAAGCCTTATATTGAATGTGGGATGTTGAAGTACTTCAAGAGGGGCATACACAAGTCAATCTAATGGAGAGGGGTTTGGCCACTGAGAAGCCTTATATTGATGGGGATGCAGAAGTACTGACGTGCCAAGGCTGGGATTCAAACTGACCAAGATCTGCCTTTATCTCTTTGTGGAGCCTGACCAAGATCTGCCTTTATCTCTTTGTGGAGCCTGACCAAGATCTGCCTTTATCTCTTTGTGGAGCCTGACCAAGATCTGCCTTTATCTCTTTGTGGAGCCTGACCAAGATCTGCCTTTATCTCTTTGTGGAGCCTGACCAAGATCTGCCTTTATCTCTTTGTGGAGCCTGACCAAGATCTGCCTTTATCTCTTTGTGGAGCCTGACCAAGATCTGCCTTTATCTCTTTGTGGAGCCTGACCAAGATCTGCCTTTATCTCTTTGTGGAGCCTGACCAAGATCTGCCTTTATCTCATGGTGTTTGGGAAGTCTGTTGAGGTCTACAAACCGTGCATGGTTTGAAACTGCAAGAGTCTCAACAATTTTCCACGATGCTGGTAAATATAATCAGTATCAAGTCTTGTACTCACCACTAGGAGAGCTCATTACCGAGTTCGCAATTTGTTTCTTGCTTACTTAAACAAAAGTAAGCCATCAGCTAGCTTCCATTTTTCAAGATCTCGAATGTGTTTCTTAACAAGTGTACTTGAGTAAACAAGGTTCCACATTAAACCCTTTTGTGTAGCTAAAATGTGTACTAACATTGTACAGGACTCAAAAACGGTTTAAATTTATATTTTATGCAACTGCTGCATTTAATTTTTAAACCAGAAGCAATTAGAATATTAGATGTGGCATGACGTCAAGTAACGTACAACGTTCAACTTCATTATTGAAAGATGAGCTTAAGCTATATGTTATTCCTTCATAATACGCTGAAAGCATTAGTGGAGGAACACACATCACCGAAAGATGTTATTATAAATACAGATAGTTCTGTGATTCGTCAGAAGCCAAGTGCATGGACTTTCACAGCAAGAACTAAAGGGAAAGTAATAAAGAAGACAGTCTTTGCCTCTGCTAACAGCAGCATGACAGTTGAGGTCATGGCTGTGACAAAGGCCCCAGAATGGCTGAAAACTCAGGATTCACCAATGCATGTTTGCTCAGCAACTCAGTGAACATGCTACAGAAGATCAAGACAGAGTACATATGGAAACGGTGGCTCCATCTGATTCAGCATTTTGCAAAATCATCTTCATTTATATGCCAGGGCATGTTGGTGTGAAAGGCAGTGAGAGAACAGAGGCTCTTGCTGGCAGTTTGACTATCAGGAATGGACCCTCTATGGACAGGAGAGACATCATCAAGGCCATACGAGAGACTAAACGCTGTGAGGCTTTCAGTTTCTTGGAAAATTATTTTTATTTAATGGACTGCACACCCCGGGTGAATGCTAACTTGAGACGTGAGATAGGAAGGAAAACCATGCGGGAGCCACCCGTCGTTACATCAGCCAGAACAGAATGGGAGTTGTTAGCCTGAAAACACATGGAGACAAACTCAGGGAGAGATTGGAGCTCTTATAGTCATGCCCGATAAAAATTATCTCTAAAATGAAAAATACGCTGACAGTTGCATAATGAATTCAGTTTTGCAGTCTTGATCGTTTGTCTCACGAAGTCGGCTGGAAATACCAAAGGGTTGTAGCTACTCTTGAGGCCAAGAGAAAGGTGAAATCCAAGCATTACTATGAGAGCAAGAAGCATCTTTTGGTAAGTAATCAGTTCTGAATTATTGCAGCTAGATTTCACCATTTTTATGCTTTAATAGCTTAATAAGCATACTTTCCAGCTGGGACCAAAAAAATGTTCATGTTAACCGGGTGTTTTTCTTATGTGAGTTTAGGTTAACGAGGTTCTACTATATTATAGTTACTTATTTAAACGAGGTTTAAGCTTCTTGTCAGAACTCCAGGTGGCCACCATATGGCCCAGTAGCTAAAATGCTGGTCTCTCATTATAGCTAGGGTATTTACCCACCCTTTTTATGAGTCGGTTTTTTATCAGTGTTCAGACCTTACCAAACATTTGTCTTCTACAAAAGCCTTATAGGTCGCAGCCTATTGTGCATGTCACCCTAACAAATGCCCAGGGATTTTTAACTTTTCAGTCCCAAACCTTTGTTACTTCAGTTCTTTTGTCTTCCACTGAGGTGAGCTTAGAAGTAAAAAAAAAAAAAATTAGGTCTCAGGAAGTGCTATGGAGACAACAATGAGACAGAAATAGTTAACACTAGTAATTGGGAAACAAGGGGAATTAACAGACCCTGTGCGTGGGATATAAGGACATCATGTTATCTTTGGGATGGCCAACAAATGTAAATAGTGTGCAGACTGCTTGAGGCGATCTCGTATGTGGCAAATTTCTGTAAGAATAATACTTTGTTTATCTCCTATCCCAGCCGTTTATCTTTTTAGTCTTGGTAAAAAAAAAAAGTCCGGTTGAGCAGAATTTGTTTATCGTGAATTTTCGAATATGCTGAATGATTAAACGTATCCTGACTGTATAATTTTATCTCCTTAAGGTGAACTTGTTTCGTATGTCAGAACAGGTGCACACATTTTCAGAAATTGTGAGGCTAATTTCCTTTTAGAGTAACACTTGTGGTAGGTTAAACATTTTGTGTGTCGATCGAGCAATCATTCAATTTGTCCCACGTGGGATGCTACCTTAAAGTTCACCATGACATCCTGGGATTTAAACAATCTTATTCTGGGCGACAGACCCTAGATACCCAGTACTGCTTACTGCTGTGTGAAAGATGGGTGTTTGGAAGTGCCGAATGTCAGACAAGCCCATGTGCCCAATTTGTGACCCTTTTGAAAATAGTTTGTTCGTTCAACCTCCAAAGAAGTTATAATTTGGGCATCCGTAACGGTTACAGCAGCCTAGTGACAATTACCGGGGAACGACTGTCATACATCTAGTTGAATTAAGAATCAATATCACGGCACTTAGGACATAAGCGCTCTTTCCTCATCTTCAGCAACAAGTGCAGCTGTTCCTAATTCTTGGGTCCCAGGTGAGTTCTCATCAGGTCTGCACTGTATTGAGTTGTCTATACTAAAGGTCAATTCAAAGAGCTGCATTAGTTGGAAACACGGCCTTCTCCAGTCAGGTCGTACAACTGAATCACGGCACATTTTCGAGGAGTCCCCCTCGAAAATAGGTTATTGCAAGCGTTTCCATGTTGCATTTTGTGACATTATAATATGCTTACAAACTTCTGTGTTCTGATTGTATTCGTATTACAAATCGACAAGCGGATATTGTAAAGTGGATATCTAAAGTGTATATCTAAAGATGGCCGTGGTTGGAAACAGTGATACTAGGTATGCTGGGAGCTGAACACATATAACTGTCTTGACAAGCAAGCACACAAACCTTTGTGCGTGTAGCCAGGTAAAAATGTATGCCTATAGTCTCTGTTGCAGATGGTTCTTGCTGTAATAGAGCATTCACTGTTTTATTTCAGAAACTGCGTGAACAAGCTAAGAAAAACGTTGCCAAGCAGATTGAACCTTATCAGAAAATCATGGAGCAGTTTGGTTATTGAAATTCATGTTGACATATTTTTTACTTAGTGTTAAATGCTCTTAGGTCTTGTTTGTTCTGTTAGATTATAGTTATATCTGTTCTGTTAGATCGTTATAGTTATATCTGTTCTTTTAGATCATAGTTATATCTGTTCTGTTAGATCATAGTTATAGTATCTTTTGCGTGACTTCCATGTATATGTTATCAACTGTATTATAGGACATCTTAAAAAGAGTACTGTCCTTGTGTGGGTTCTTGGACTCCATTTTTGAGAATAAAGATAGAGCCACCACTCCCCTAACAAGTATGTGCTAGGAGGTGACCAAATGGGAGTGTTAACTTCAACGTTGGAGTGCTTCTAAGTGTCGAGGAACCAAGAATCTGCATACAAGTAAGCCAGATCTGTAAAATGGATGCGCATGCAAAACTCAAGTTCTGGATTAAGACCAAAGTCCTGAAAGGGGATGAACAACCAGTACTTTTCACCGGCATACACACCTAGTGAACACAAGAAAAAACTAATATTGAATAATCTCGTGACAGGAAATATTTAGAGTAGAAAAAAAAATATTGAAGAATTTATAAATTATTACTTAAAAAATTACACCTTTTTTCATTGAAAAACAGTAGCACATTGTGTTTGTTGCTAGACACATTTTGTTGGTGGTGGTTATAATCATGGCAGACCATGAATAGATTATGAAGGGGCTTTATGTAAACTACCATTCTTGAACAGGTTTCCAGTCTGGAGCAGCACTAGTGATCATGACTGCCCAGGTCTCTTTGTCATCTGAAATTTTATCGAAATGTGTTTTATTTATCCTACTCGTTATCCTTTTTACTTAGTCGATACTCTCTACCCTGGGGTCTAGAGTTTTTCCAGAGAGGCCACCAGACTTAAATTTTTTTTTTGACTCAGTTATATTCCAGTCCTCTGTCAGTCAAGGACTGTCGGGTGTGGTCTTCCTAGAGAACCTTGGGTCGCCTGCTTTTTATGCAGGAGTTAATATTTTAGTTTTTTTGTTTTGTTTTCATGTGTCCTTCCTTTCTAGTGGCTAGCATTTCCCCACTTCTTCTGTTGGTAAAAATTTTGTTTTCCCTTTCCTTATGGTTTTTAGTTTGTGTCTGCAGCTTAGGTGTTGTAAATGTGCTTCATAATTCTGAGGTAATCAGTTGGATTGCAGCTGCAGGCAATCTGTCAGCAGATCTCCATGCGCTTTTCAGGAGGGTACTGAGGGCGGATCGTTCAGTCTGCAGTGGCAAACTACTAAACAGAGAACTGCCTTTTGAAAATTAACAGCCAGAAAATACTGGAGCTCGCTATTTCATCAATATCATCGTTAATTTCCACTTCTTCTGTTGAGCGTTGTGGGGAGGAACAGTTTGCGATCCACTGCCCTATTGGCACCTAGGGCTATTGCCATTCCGTGTTGCTGTAAAAGCTCTTTAATGTTTTCAATCCATCTTCTCCTGGGGCGACCTCTTGCTTAAACTTCAGATGTTTTCATATGTAGCGCCTGCGTTGGTATTTATACTTAGGTCTTGTTGTACTTGTTCTGTAACCTCCTGTAAAGGATATGCAGCTAACTTTTATGGTTTTGATTAGTGACCTAGGGACAACTGCAGTTGCCAAAACTGTCCTTGTTTGCCCTTCAGCAAGGTGAAACACCTATCTGCTATGTCAGTTCAATGTCAAATACTGAAAGTTAAGCAATCATTGAACTCTCAAACCTGTTGGTTAAACTTTGAACAGCCAGCTCCATATTTTTCACGGACACTCGCTGTCATGTTCGGCTGATAACACAACACCCCTCTGTTTTATACAGCATTTGGAATATTCATCTTTTTTAAACGGCATTTATAATTTTATTACTCACTGATGATGATGATGATTGTCCAGTATTTACAATCATACAGAAGAAATCGCTGGTGCAACTGAGTTTGTGCACTGAGCTGAGATTTTTCAGACTCAGGCTTGAGTTACAAGAAGAATGAAACACTTATGGGTTACACTCGTGTGCGATGATATTGATCCATTGAATAAACATAAAACAAACATGAATTTATCAGTAAGCAAATGTTACTGCTTGGCATTTTTGGTGTTATTCATGAAGTTATTTAATGTATTTATTTTACTGTTTCAAATACATGGAATAAAAATTTGAAGGAAAAAAAACAAGCTAGTGTTGTCCTGAATGCATGTTTTACATTAGAGAGTGCAAACCTTCAAAACTATTGATGAAATACAATTATTAATTTAAAGTCAAGAGATTCCGCTTCAGGTCATCCCATATAGCTACATAGCTCAGTCTCCGCAGAACAACAAGCCCTTCAGAGAGCGTTGCACAAAGCACAGAACTCTGTAGCTCTAGCAATGATCCTCAGGAATCTCCCCAAAAACTGCACTTACAGACTCAATGATGTGGCCATTAAACAAACCCATGACCTTCAGAGAGCAAGGAAAACGACTTGACCACTGAGAGACTCCCAGAATAAAAAATATGATCACTTGTGAATCTAAATTGTACATGTATAATGCACAAGGTCTTATGCAGCATGTTGTGACAAACACACTTGCTCCACTAAGTTTTTAACTTATTCACTCCTAAAAGCAGTAACAAAATAAAAAAAGTGTACTATTTTATCGTTATAAGTGTGGCATCCGTGGTGGGTCCAACTCGTAATTCCAACGTACCGCAATCGAAAGCCACTGCTGGCTGCGTGGATTGTTATCATGGCATGGGGCATCGCAGGTCGACCCAGCCTAAAATGGGTACCAGGATGTATTTCCTGGGAAAGTAAAGACAACCAGTGTAATGCTGACCACATTATCCACCTAGTGCTGATTGGTCTGTAAAAATATGGGTGCTCTTCCCATATGCCCATTGCGCGAAAAGGTATCTTTCTGGTAATCTGGTAATCTGGTAATCCTAGTTTCAGCTTCATAGCAAACGGGTCACCCCACACATGCTCCGCTCCTGTGCCAACGAAAAACAAACGCAGCTCACAGTGTCACGCCATGCACTCAACTCAGAAGCTGGGCGACAAAACTACATCCTTCCAGTTTACAAATGGAGCAAAAATGCAACGGCCACCGTCTGGAAAAATATTTGCCACGGCTTAAAAAAAAAAAAAAAAAAAAAAAAAAAAAGTGGCCGTACCTAGCGTCCATTTTGACCGGAAGAATTATATGAGGGTTAATAAACGGTCACCCCAGCAGTACCCTCATTATTAGCTGGGGAAGGGACTTAGGACATTACATCCACCAGCAGGCGTCGCCCCTACAACGACCTGCCTGCCCTCGTTAACGACTGTTCACCCAACAGCCATGCAGTTCTTTGGCACGAAGGAGACACCTTGAACTTGGGTTTCGTACTGCCGACTCCCTACTAAGATGTTATTTTATGTTCTGTTATCACAATTAATGTCACTGCACATTGGGCATACCCATGCGTGCTCAGTTCTCCGAAGCAGCAGCCACTCTAAAGTACTTCTACTAATTGTCCCCATGAGAAGCTGGTTATATTGTCTCCTTTCTCGGCCTCGAAGACGGCAAAGACGTGCATCCCCATGCTTAACTCCCATGTCACGCAATCGTGTTAGTGTCAGGGATTCCTCATTCTCCACTAGCCCGGTTCGTACAGCGTTGACTATGTCTGCTCTGTCCATACTTTTTCCTGCAATCATTAGTGCAGTGCTTGCCAGTTGGTCTGCTCGCTCATTTCCCTTCACGCCCGCATGACCCGGTGTGTAGATCCAGGTTACGGAGGTTAAGTGCGATTCCCTGATGCTTTCTATCCATTCAGAGCGCATACTGCCTGTTGCTATCTTCTGAAGCATATTCATTGAGTCTGAGACAATTACTACCTGTGTGGCGGTTTGCTCGGATACCCATGCTAAAGCTCTAGAAGCAGCGGCTATTTCCATTGTCATGCTTGACGTGGTTGTCTGGTAAGCGCCGCTGTCCTCATGTATTGTTTTCCCCTTTCTTTGCGCTGTGTATGCCCATGCTGACCTTGATCCGCGCTTCACAGATCCATCTGTGTAGATGATGGTATCTTCTTAGTCTGAATGCTGATCTATCAGTTCCCTTACTTCTGTGTCTACCGCCGCAGGAATTTGATCCCTGCAGTACCTTCCGAGTGTGATGACAACCTTAGAGATGCCATGCATGTCTACTGGTGTATTCGTCCATTCTTTTCCGTGGCTGATCACGTCTAGGTCACATACCTGCTGGATTAAGTCCTCAGCCTTTGCCATCCAAGAGCGGCCCCTTTTGAGACGCGTTCCTTTTGTGTCGTGAATAGCTTTGTGTAATGGGTGGTTAACATCTGCCGATACCCTCATGTAAGCCTTGACCTGTGCCACTTTGTATCTGCTTGTCATAGTCGGCAGACCCAGGATATAACGCATGGCGTTGCAGGAGGTGTCTTTTGTGCAGCCGAGTATGAGTCTCATGGCCTCATTCTGTACTCGGTCCAGTCTTTTCTAGCTGGGGTTTTGCTGACAGTGAGGAGGCCGAGACCATAGTCAATGACGCTAAGCACAAGCCCTTGATAGAGAAGGAAAAGTAGACGTTCAATATCAGCTGCTGCTAGCACCTTGAGTGCTGTCAAACCTTTCCTGGCTCTAAGTATGACGTTGTCTACGTGGCATTTGTATGACAAGCATCTGTCAAATGTCATGCCCAGGTATTTCATGGTGTCCGTTCTCTCGATGTCCACACCACAGATGCTTACGACTGGCGTTGGTGTACTCACGATGTGGGTATTAAGAGAGAACCATGTTTAAGGAGGCTTTGGACGGGTTCACATGAGCTCTTGATTCCTGGCACCACTCACTAAGTCTGTCTAGTTCGTGTTGTAGTGTGTGGTTGTTATTTCCTGCCTGTTTTTTACCTCGACGGTACACAAGGATATCATCTGCATACGACATTGTTCTGCCTAGGCCTACGCGTTGTGCACTAGTGACTCCTGCTGTGTACACATTGAAGAGCACAGGCGACAATGGTGATCCCTG